GCTACCGCTCCATCAACTTCCTTTGGACAAGCCCCAGGGTGGCACCTTTCTCGCCCATAGCCCGGACCTTGTACTACCGCCATCACACTTTGCACCACCTGAGTCTGAAACTTTGATGTTCACATCAAATGACCAGTTTGGTTTGTGCACTTGGTGCTGGTAATCTCGTAATGCTCCGCGCCCACCCTGCCCCTGCTGTCGCACAACTTGCGGCACCAACTGTGACTTGCCCCAGGTCATCGCTTCTCGGTTCGACGAGAAGCTTCCAAAGGACCGCTTTCCCTCCGGAGCCGAGTACGCTTTGGAGACCGCCCGGCATAAGGCCCTGGACGTGGCGGCCATGGTGGAGCAGCAGCGCCAGCAACACCAGCAGCAGCAGCAGCAGCCGGGGGAGGGGAAACAGATGCAGAACCCGCCACTTGTGGATCTCATCATATCCGCGGATACGGTGTGTGTATGTATGTATGTATGACTTAGATTACACTGTGGGCTGTTAAAGCCGGGGGCCGAAACCCAAACACCGCGGAAGGGTCGGGGGCACCCGCAGCAGCACAAGCCGCAGCTAGTCTTGTGTGCTCCCCACCCCGACTCCGACTGCCGACCCACGACGCAGCCGTTCAGCAGCGCTTCTGTCCGGGGAAGGCGCCGCAGTGAAGATACGACGGGCACTCAAGTCCCACTTGAACACCTCCACAAAACTCAGTTAGGGCAGCAAAGGCTCGAGTAACAACAATTATTCCCCTCTCCGCCCCCCAAACTCCCTAAAGGGGAGGACCCCCTTCCCCCTCACTTTTCCCCGACTCACCTCTCCCCGGCCCCCGTGTTCGGTGCAGGTCGTGGAGGCCGACGGGGTAATTTTGGAGAAGCCGGACGATGAGGAGCATGCGGTCCGGCTGATATCCAGGTGGGTCTTACCATGGTTTCGGGTTGTGGTGCGTGCGATGCTGGCCTGTGTGTGTTTTGGAGGGGTGTGGGGATCCCCCGGGGGGGCCCTTAGTGCCTAGGAGGGGTGTTATTACGGGGGGGTTAGGAGGGGTAACCGGGGGGCCACGTCGTACCCAAAACCCTAGTTGTCTAGCGGCGCGTGTTAATTGGTCATTGGGGAGCAGGCCGTTGGGACGATTTACCTTCTGGTCTTCTTGCGATGCCGTACAACAGAAATCGCTCCTTGGCCTGGACCCGGAGATCTGCTCCGCTCGCAGCTCGCCCTCAATTCCTTCCCTCACTCACTCACTTTTGGGTGTCGATGATGCGTTCGTACACGGCAGGTGATGCCTTTGCATTCCTTTCTTTCCGTTTAAACACACACACATACATACGCACACACAGACGTACGCAGAGAGAGAGAGAGACCCGTGTTATTATAACACACACGCGCGCACACACGCGCACTTGTCGTAAGCTGCCCTAAGTGTCTTGTCCCGCGCCCTCCCTGTGTCACCAGTCTGAGCGGGAGAGACCACCAGGTACACACGGGGGTTTCGCTCGTCCTGCCGGGAGAGCCAGGTACGACATGTGTACGGCACCCCGTAGTGCAGTACAGGGTGCTGGTGTGTTCGTTGGCAGGTGGACGGGTAGTGGACGGGTGGGTGCTAACGAGTTTTGGGTTTTGCGGCTCTCATGTGTATTTGCTGCTCTCCACTTCGTCTTCTCAATCAGCGAACAGACGTTTCAGATGCAGCTGGCGTGTCAGTATTTATGTCGTACACGGCGCAAGGGGAACCGGTGTTTATGTAAACCCTTTACGACCGTATCTTTCGTCCAAACATTCGTACAGCGCAGATGGTAGAATAGCTCCGCTATCCGGTCCTCCTCCCCCTCCACCTGCTTCTACTCCGCCTGCCGGCACCCGGCAGCCTGCCCCCACAGCCCCCACAGCCCCCACAGCCCAGCCACTGCCACCTCGGAGCACGTTAGTCCTTTTCACCTGAACGGGCGGCCAACGTGAGCGTTACGACGTGAGCCAGACGTGTTTAAATGAACCGAACTGCCCGCATTTTCAAGCCGTCGGTTGGCCAATGGCTCCGGAACCTCCTGGGCGCATCACCCTCACGTCTCGCACATCGACACCCCTTACCCACCCCACCCACGGCATCATCACCGGATCCGCAGCATAAGCTCCTCCCTCGCCGCCCATATTCCGGTGCCGTACATACACATACGTACACATACATACATACATACACACACCCTGCAGATCCCGCCACTGGCCAGCCCCCCTTCATTCGAAGCTTCTTCGTGACCACGGATGTGACCTTCGCGCAGCTTTCCTCCGAAACCATTCAGGCGTATGTGGCGTCAGGTAGCAGGGGGGCCTGGGGGGGGTGGGCGGGAGGAGAGTTGGAAGGAGGGGAGCTGCCGCCGCCACTCTTAAACGGCCCACACACACATATATATATATATACATACATATGCACACGCGTGTGTGTATGTATGTTCGGGTGGGGCCGTGTCGGTCTATCTCCTGTGCGTCCCACTCCATCATCCTGGAGTGTCGTGGCGGGATGGGCTCTCTCTCTCTCTCTCTCTCTCTTTCTCTCCCCACCAACATCTCTCTCTACCAACATCTCTCTCTACCAGCCCACGCCCCATCCGCACAGCCCCGAACTTCGATGGACTGCCACCCACACACCACCACCATTGACACGATGCGCGCCTATCCAACCAAACCAACCGCCGGCAAACGAATTAAACCACCAACCACCCATGGGGGGTAACCGCCACCCACAGGCGAGCCCTTTGGCAAGGCCGGGGCGTATGGCATTCAGGGTCTTGCCGGTTCGTTCGTTGTGGGACTTCGAGGTTGTTTCTACAACGTGGTGGGTTTTCCCGTACACAGGTGCGTGTGCGTGGGGGTGGAGGGGTAAGGGGGGGGGTTTCACCGGGAGAACAGAAGCTGATAAAGAGATCGCCACTGCGATACGACAGACCCTTAGTGGCTCTTCCATCGTTATACGCTCTGCCGCATTGAAGGAAGCAACAACCCTCCAAAGGCAAGGGAAGAAATACGCTAAGGTGACTTTCTAAATGGCACCCCTTAGAATACATAGAAATATATGTACGGAACATGCGTACAGTACCTTCAGAGGGGGGGGATTGGGGGGGGGTCCAGGGAAGGAAGTAACCCCCATTCCGAGTAGGGGTGATGTCCGCCCACCCGGCGAACCCCCACTCGGAGTAGGGGGAGGAAAGGTCTGTCGTCACGTGTCGGCGGCCCCTCATGAGCCTCTCAAGTGCCTCTCGGTGGCCCGGCCTTTGGCCTTTTTCGTTGCCAAGGGTTGGGGGCACTACTGCACCTGGTTGGGGCCACCCGTGGGCTACAGCATGCCATGCTGGGAGCTGACGTCGCTTCACCGTGGATGCGAATGACATGCTGCTGCTACCGCTACTGCTGCTGCTGCTGCCTTGCAAGATGTAGTCCCTCGTCTTTCTGCCAGTTAAATTTTGACATTATCACACCCTTCTTACCCGCAGTCCCTCAGTTGCTAAACATGTTTCGTGTTCCTCCTCTCCGCCCTTTCCCTCCCTCCCCCTCCGTTCCCCTCCCTCCCCGTCCCTCTCCTTTCGGTCGCCTTTCAGGTTTTGCGCCGAAGTGTTGGCGCTCATTGAGGAGGGTCGCTTGAAGCTGTAGGAAGTAGTCCCGTTCTGTCTCTCGCATCTCGTGCACGTGCGGATGTGCGGTACATGTATGTGTGTATGTATGTGTGCGTACTTAGCCAACGAGTTGGGGTTTGAAGGGTATTTGAAGAGGAGAGCAGAGCCGCAGGTTAAAGTGAAGAGAGTGTGTGGGTGTTGTGGGGCGTGAGGGTGCGGGTGGGTGTCCTGTATGTATGTATGTATGTATGTATGTATGTATGTATGTATGTATGTGCGGACTTCCCGCCTTACCGGGCTCGAACCAGCCACTGGCCACTGACAGACGATGATGACGTCAGCTGTATATGTCGTACAACACCCGGCCACCTCCCCGGGGGGTACATACATCTCCACAATGATTTTTTGCGATCTGGAGTCGCACGCGGAGGTGCACTGCCCGCCAAAAGCGCAGTTGGATGCCATCGCTACCAGACACCGTTATAGATAGCAGACAGAAAGTAAACAAATGAGGACCTAAAAAAAGGAATAATAATAAAATCCAGATCATACATTCCAAGGTTCCGGGGTATACTAGAAATCCGGTTCCAGTTCCAATTCCGTATTCCCACATGCACTCATTCCAGCGTGTGCTTTTGAGCAGAGTCTTGTCTTGCAGCATTTCTCGGGTTTCCAATGGTATAATTTGCGCATGCACCAGTACACATATATAACATGTATTTACACACGCACACACATACATGCATACGTACGCACGCTTGGAGATAACAGCAAACACCACATCGCTGCAGCAGTCCTGTGCCAGTCATCTATCATGCGTTTGAATTTGTGATCGCGATCATGCGGAGGCCAAAACCTGCGGCTTCAAAAGGAGGAAACGAAGACGTTCACACTTCGTTTGAATCCCAACACAACCAGGATGCGAATGGCCGTTAGAAGCGTTAGGAGCATTGATATATGGGACATGGCACGGCACACAGGCCAGGAATGGGGCCCACAGCCGCAGCAGCACCAGCAGCAAGGGCTTCAAGCTTTTCTGGAGGTCCGATGGGTACACACTCCGGGAGCATCACTAGGACGCCCGCCATTACAAAGCTGCCGTGTGCCGCTGCTGTCTGTCTGTCTGCCACACTCTCACGCCAACTGGAGGGACGCTGCTGAGGGCGCGGGGAGCGGTGCGGGAGCTTAACTAATTGCTCGCACAGAGTCGCAGAGTTGAACCACTCTCCAACCCAACTCCACTCTACTCCCGGGGGCCTGAAACCTCAAAAACTCCAAAGCCAGGAAGTAGTTTATTAGCACGGCACGCCAATGGTTGGCGAATCCGAAAAAGTGAAACCTTGAGGAGTATCCGGTCGGTTGGAATTTGGCGGAGATCAACGACAGCAGCCGCCGCGTTGGGTGCGTTAGGCATCATCACCATCACCATCATCGAGGCGGCGTGATGGTGGTAATGATGGCAGCAGCAGCGGCGGCAGCGGCCCCGGCTGCCGTACCATGGCTAGGGAGTCGCTGCCGTCAGAGTTGTACCGCTTCCGCAGTCCGACGGTGATGAAGCCCAATCGGAGGTACAGTGCTTGCGCCGCGGTGTTGTCCGTACGGACCTCCAGAAACGCTGGGTAGCGTTCCACCCTGCAGTACGGAAGCATGGTGTGGTACGGTAGGACGGAAGAAAGCGCAGCTGGCAAGACTGTACATCTGCATGCACCCTAAAAGAATATCCACAGCGGTGTAACGCACCTGCAAACCCTAGGTGCAGTACATGCATAAACGCAGCTCACTGTGTAAAACACACAATCACACACAAACACACACGCGCGCGCGTAACTACTTTATTTCTTGCCAACCCCTGGTCACCCCACCCCCCCCGAGGTGTCCGGGAGTACAAGAGCAGGGAACTCGGGGGCATGTGGGAGTTTGGATCTGTGAGCCAGACACGTCCAAGAATAATCCTGGCTTGCTACCCACACTGCCAAAGTGCGCTCCCTCCCTCCCCCCCCGCCGGGGAAGGGGGGGTAATAACCCACCCAAGACGTGTCAGCAACTCCACCGCCATTCGTCGGCCCAGTCCGCGGCCCCGCATGTGCGCCGCCACCGCCAGGTTGGTGAGCGACACCTCCCCAGCCACCTCACACCCAGCTGCCAGGGCAACAATAGCACCCATCGAAGGAAGCGGAAGAGGTGGCGGCATTAGATCTATTAGATCTAAGTGTCCTGGACTAGCCGCCACCGACGCCGCTGGCGCCGCCACCTCTGCCGATGCCACTTCCAGTGGCCCGGGATCCGCGCCGCGGCCGTCGCCATCACTGCCTGCCGCCGCAAGATGCAGCTCTGCCGTCGCCATCGGTTTATTTGCCGTACCTGTAACCGAGGGTGCCGGACAGTGCCGTACCGCTGTTGTGCTCGAAGCGGGCTCCCTGTGGATGGCTTGGGGTGCAGGTGGGGGACCTGAGTGAGCATCATCCCATGGCGACGGTGGCGACGGTGATGATGGTGATGACAACGGCAATGACGGCGGTGACGGCGGCGACGGCGGCGATGGCGGCAGCAGCAGCTCACACAAAAGGATTACATTGGGTCCGCCTGGTTGCAAATCGGACTACGTCACCGGAGGGCAGCAGCAGGCGGGGGGCAGCAGGAGGGGGGGCCTAAGTAGGGGGCCACATCACGATCCGGCTTCCTAGCTTGAGGCAAGCCAGTCCGGTATTATACAAACAGTCCGGCATTAAGCAACAGCGGATTTACAGCCGGTGCCAGTGGTCTCCTAACGTCTAGTGGTCATCTGCGGGAGCTTCTTGGGTGCCTCAGTAGTGAGCGGAAGAGTGCTTATCGTGTGTACTAGTTACGGCAGCCACAACTTTTCACTGCCGCTGACTGTCTTTGCCTCTGCCTGTGCTTGTGCCCATCTACAACGAATGCGCATCCACCAGCCGGCTCCAGCCGGCTCCGGCTTGTGAAAGGGAAAGTGAAAGTATGAGGGTGAGGGGTAGGGCAAACGACGAAAACACCCATCGGGCCGAAAAAGGTCCAGATAGGCCGTTAGTGGCGCTGCCAGTCCCGGCATGCATGCATGCATGAACGAAAGCCACCAACCAACTAACGACATGTTCCCTGTTTTTACTCTTCTGTTCCAAATCTCTCATCGTTGCCAGCACCATAATTCCATCGTTCTCATCTTGAGTCTTATTCCAACTCGGTGTAATCGAGGTCAGTCAGTCAGCCAGCACGCAAACAGCTGCCCTAGCTGTACACCAACCCTGCAAGCTGGTGGTCAGCAGACCCTTGTAAGTAGACCCTCACCCGGTAGATGCCCTCGCTCCAGCCCGCGGATCCCGAGGTCCTGCAGGCTGCATCCAGCGCTGCCAGGACCGCGGCATCCCCCGGCTCTGCCAGCCGAACTCTCAGCTTGGCTCCGACAAGGTTTGGAGCGCTGGCCGCGTGGCTCACAGATTGAGATGATGAGCTCATAGATGAGCGGCAGCGGACATCCCCCCGGGAGGCCCAGGGCTGACGACGAGGGACGCAGGACGGACTACCGGGAGCTGGGGTCGTGTGTAACCAGGCCGCTCTTTGGGGCAGGCGTGATGAATGTTTCGCGCAGGTACATGCGCATGCATATGTGCAAGGGGAAGTAGTAGTGTTGCGGGGGGCGTTGCTGCTGGTGCAGGTATTGGTTGTGATGTTTTGTTGTGGAGAATTAAGCGGTGCAGCTTTGCCTTCCGTTGGCCATGTCGTCCAAGTCGCCGCATGGCAGAGGGCGGCATCAGCCACTGTCCCCAAGGGTGCAATTGCCGCGGCGACTGCCTTGGGGCCTTTGCGCTGCTGAGTGGAGTTGTCAGAGAGGAAAATTGGCTGTGGAAGGAAGGGCGAAGCAGCGGCTGCTGCAGGGAACGACGCCGCAAATGCTTGTGGGTCCGGCAGCTGTCGACAGATGCGGGCTGCGGATGCGCTGGTGTTGCAGGGCGCGATTGGTGCTGAGACCCAGTGGGGTTGCTGGAAGCGTGATGTCATTATGCCAAGCTCACCTAACAAACATTGCCATGGTTAAGCCGGGAAGGATCACCGAAGCAGACCATAAAAGGCCTCGTAATATCTCAGCAGTTTACTACAACGACCCAGCAAAATGAACCCTCTCCATGTATCACCTGCAGCTTCCATCCGCACACCAACCGCAGTAGTACCGACCTCCGAAACCATTTCGCTCATGACTGGGATATGAGCAGAAAACAATTATTGGGTTGGATACCCCCCTGGCGGAAGGCTGTTACCGTCCATGGCGGACGCTCGGCCGGACGAACGAGCGTCCGGCACAGCTTGCCTCGCGCACACACCCACACATACCAACCTTTTCATGCGAGAAACAAAAAACATATTATTCTAGTAAGTCCTGATGCTCGCGGCGCGGAGCGCGCGCAGAGATTCCTTTCGCAAGCCGGCAGCGCGGTGTGCAAACTGCGTCCAGATGAGCCCATTTCCCTAGCAATTTGCTGAGCATGTAGTAAATTGAAAGTTGTATAATCTTCATGGAAAATGTACCGCAGTGCACAATGCAGGGGGCTAGGCCGATGCAAGCGGTTGGCAACAACAGATGCATGAAATATAAACAAAGCTAAAACTAGAAGTCAGCTATGTCAACAAGCTTTAGAAAACATTTTATCTGGCGGTTTGGGGCCTGAGATACGTCCAAGGCAACAGCTGCAGGTGGAGGCGGATGTGGATGGCTATTTAGACTTGCAGCGGGGCCGTTTGCAGAGGCTTTGGTAGGAGCAGCGCCTTTCGCAATACCGTTTGCAGCACCATTGGCGGCACCGTTTGCGGCATGGCCATTGGGAGGGCCAAGCGCAGCGCCATTCACAGAGCCGTTCACGGCAGGGCTAGCAGCAGGGCAAGCCGCAGGTCATCCAGGGGTGCTCCGCAATGGTTTTTTCCTTGCTGCCCTACCCCTTTTGTCGTAAGCCATCACCACCTGCTCACGAACCCATAAAACCGCCGTCCATGCCATTCCAAAGCCCCTAAACCCCTAAAGGGGCCCCACACCCGCCACAACCGCACAAGCCGAGCTACGAAGAAAACCTCAACCTCGCGCCGCCCAACCCCACAGCCCCCATAGGGCCGCCCAGGCGCTCTCACCAGCCGAATAATGCGGTTCATCTTCTTTACGCTCTGCGTTATGTTGTTCATGTATGCCGTACCCACATCATGGTACTGTTCCCGGGCCCTTTCGTACCGTCGTTCCTCGCGCTCATCGTCCTCGTCGTACCTGCGTCGTATTGATCATGAAGTATGGAAAGTTTCGAGGCCACTATTTAGGCCACTGTTTACGCTTGTGGTCTTGCTTGCTACGGTTAAGGAGCCGGGGCGGTTGCAGTGTAATCATGATGTAACAGCAGAGGCCAAGAAGATGGAATCTGGTGTCCACATGGCAATTTGCAGTTTAGACGCACCTCTCCCCCTCCTCCTTTCAGCTTCTTCGCGAGCTGTGCCAAGAATTACAGAGCCTCGCACTTCCCGCGCCGAATTGAATCAATTTGCCTACACCCTTGCCCTCCTGCGTTTCGCGTGTCCGCACATACGCCATTTGCCGCGCTAACGCCGTGGCTGGCTAGCCGGCATAAGCTGCCGAAAGCTAAAACCTGGCAATGGCAGAACGCCCTACCTGGCAAACGCACTCTCCGCACATTTTTTGTCTCACACGGTGCCATTATATAAAATATGTAGGTACCCCTGGTGCACTCTTAAATATGTATATGTATATCTATATTGCCCTCGGAACAGAATCGGCCACTGCACACAAGTTACGGCTACTGCACAAACCGTCAGTCTTTGGCTACACTACCTGCCACGCCCAAAAGCCTGGGCCTGGGCCAATGTGGGTAAGGCCCTCGAGGTTTGACATAATCCACGACAGGCGTGTGCCCCCCTTTAGGGTACGTCTGTAGTGATATCCAAGCAGTTTATGAATATATGAGGGCCCCCAAGCCCACCTCGCCCTAGGATTAACTGTGTGCCCTTAAGTATATAAAAGTCTGTAAACGGACACCGCACCTCAAACTACGGACGGAGCTATACACCTCCCCTGGGGTTGCGCGTGGCGCGGGAGCCGTGTTTTCCCCTCCTCTCCCTCGATGTGTGTAGACAACAAGTTCCCCGCGACTCCCCACGAGTTTTCGGAGCTAAGCTTCCGTCTCTAGGGCTGGGCGAGCAAGAGTGTCCATCTCGTTAAGGTAACACAATGTCCATTGCGGTTCCACATCACGACAACAACCACAGTCAACTTGACGCAACTTGACACAACACCCTGGTGGGGTGGCCGTACCGTACGGCTGTGGGAAGGCGGTGGCGACGTTTCAACCTTCGCATACTACCATCGTGATCATTTAATGATCGCAACACCGGAAAGACCAGAAAGGCCATAACGCTTTTGCAGACCGGTTTACGACGTACGCGTGGTATACGAGGTCCCTCCCGCACAACACCCGCCCTGCAACCTGCCGCTGCTCCAACCCGCCGCCAACTCCCGCCAAACACGTGCGTGTAGTGGAAAACGCCAAGCGCGCTTATTGCATACATACATGCACATGGCTTTTATGTTTGCGAAAGCTTTCACAAGGACCTCGCAGATGCCTCTGCCAGGCCCAACTTCTCGGGCCACAGGACCCCCCGTGTGTCATTTGCTCGGACGCTGCTAACAACAGGTTGTTGTCTCAGCGCCTCTCTCTCCTCTGCTGTTACCCGCCTCATATGACCCGCCCCAGCGATGATTAGCGGTATGAACGGTACACGTCGTGCAAACCCCTTCGCGACTGATCAGCCCCATTCAAGGATGTCTTGTCTTGTGTTGTGGGTTACAAGACACCCACAACACACCCACACCACCCACAACACACATTAAACACATCACCCACAACACAAATTGAAGAGCTTGCCACCAACTCCAAAGTCCCCGGTCCCCAAAGTTCTCGGTCATCACTCTCCACTACACGCCCATAATGTGGCGTTCTCTGGTTCAACCGGCAACAGCCATTTGAATCAATCGGCAGCTGCTGTTACGCTCCTCACGCTTGGCCATTTCGACTAAGCACAAATATACATATACACACACGCGCGCGCGCAACACGCATAACACGCACACACGTCGACGAGGGTCGATGTCTTGTAGTGTACCTCGCACAGCAAACAGTGTAAGGCAATGTGGGGGATCTACCGACCCATCCCGAACTCCAAGAAGGTTCCTCTCTGTTTTCAACAGCAACTATACGGTCAGCCTTATTTCGCTGCTCTGCACTGCTCGGGGGGGGGGCATTGTCCGCAAAACGCGTCCTGTCTCCCCCTCCTGGGACCACCGATGCTTGCTTAGCTGGATGTCTTGTTGCGCCGCTTGATGGCCTTGGGGTTGGCGATGTCGCCCTCAACCCCCTTCGCAGCCTTCCTCTTCTTCCCCTTATTGCCCCCCTTTACCGCATCCTTGCCCCGACCCGTCCCCCGCGACTTGCCAGTAGTCGCGAATTCCTCTTCTTCTTCCCCTTCCTCCTCGTCCTCGTCCTCCTCCCCCTCCTCTTCGTCCTCCTCCCCAATAACGTCCTCGGCTACCGTGGGCCGGCAACGGCGGCAGAAGAAGTCTTCATCTTCCCGCAGCTCTCTCCGCAAGCCAGCGCATTTAGCGTGGACGCTCTTGTTGCATCCCTCGCAGATGTAGGCAAGGCCATTGCCTGGGTCCCCAGTCTCCTTTTCGCAGACCCAGCAGACCTCCTTGATTAAGCCCATCATAAAATAATTGGCCTTTGTCGTTGGCCACAGCTCGACCGTGTCGCCAGATAAAACTTCCGCTTTGTACTTCCGGGAGCTGACCATGTAATTTCTGATGTTGGCGACATTAACCCGGCCCAAGGGCTCCCCCTTCGGGCCCGGCTTCTCCAGCACCTCGTATTTTGCTTCCATTGCTGCGCAGTCCCTGCCGCCAGCCTCTTTTCCCGGCGGCTGGACATACACCATCATCGAGCCGCCCAGCTTCACGTCCTGGGACAGATGCGGCTTAATTTTTTGGGGACTGACGTCGATGAATTCTGGCGCATCCGGTTCTCGGTCATACCAAGGCTCATTCATGACTTTACTACACAGCACCTCCGCCCCACGGGGCTTCTCTAGCCTGTCTTCCCGCTTCATATTGGTAAAAGGCGGAGTCCAAGAATAAAAGCAGAAAGTTTTAGTTATCAAGTCGATTTTAAGCCTTTATTATACCCTTGAGTAAATTACTTCGCTGGCGGCAAGCTCAGATCATGTGATAAACGCAATCCTATCTACATTAACACCAGTATTGTAGAAAGACTAAACATTTTCTTCTTTTTTTGTCCAATCACAAGAGGTACGCACGATTGCGCTTCGTACAACTCGTCAGAATTAAGTTAGAGAATAGCGAGCAAACGCGTGTGTCACAACAGTGACATTTAACTATTTAATTTACCATAATTCCCTGACCATGTACAGCAATTCCCCTCACTTCAGCAGACCCAAGGGGTTAAGGAACCAGATGTTGGTGGGTGGGGGTTGTCCACAGCTACAATAGAGAGCACACATCTGCGCGCACAATTTGCCTCAGGGCAGACCCAACCGCAATTATTAAGCATGCTTTATGTTTACTTCTCCCGTATGGAGGGGTAGCATGGTGGCGTACGTTTGTAGGTCATGCATTAATGACGCAAGCTGTCATGGAACCGCGGTGGCCTAGAACGCTGCTAGTGAATCCACAAAGACTAATACTCTTGCTCCCTACCAGCAGTCAGAAGCTGAGAACACTTATATGATTCTCAGCCCAGGAGGAAGGTGCGGCGCACACTGTGGGCACATCCCTGATCTAAACCTAAACACACTCAGAACGGGCTCAAGTAAAATTGGCACCCTGATCCAACTCCTTTAAGCCTGTTCCGTGCACCCTGATGAGGACGCCGTTACCGCTCCCGATGTCCCTGCTCTAGGTATGTTAACCTCGCCTTTTCGTTAATCCGCGACGATGACCACTACAAGACGTGACGAGCGCCTGAAGTGAAATCGCATTTTTAAGGTAACATCGGCATGGAGTTATGAAAAAGAAGTGCAAGAGCTTGCGGTGGCTCAACGAACAGCTGCGGTGTGCAAGCCCTATCCGCATTGCGCTGGCTATCTGACACGCTAAACAAACTAAGATCATTCCTTATAGCAATGTAAGTAATAGGCTTCATTAAGCTCAGTGTTATTTAGCTTGCAGTAATGCCAGCGAACGAGGCAGCCTTCTGATGCACAAAGCTTTTGCATTAATCCGTTACCCAGATCGGTGCGCATCCTGTGAATGCAACAATCAGCGTTTGCAGAACCAAGCTGGATTTATCGAAAGTGACGGCAATTTGGCTTTCATCTGTGGCATTGTACGGCTGTTGATGGGCCCAAAACCCCTGTTCAGCCATTTGTAATCAAGTATGACCTCCAACATTATATCAGCCTGGCGTTAGGTGCTTATTCCAGGGTAATCCTAGTGAAGGAAAGTACTACCAGTATCCTTGCGTAGACAGCGCACCACGCAAGCATAGGCTAACAGATACCCGAGAATGACAGCCCTCATTGGACGTGTTTCGGCCAAAGACGCGGTGCTACGACGCGGCCCAGCGCCCTGTGTTTACGGCCCTACTATCCAGCGCCGCGCAACTGTAGTTGTGAGGACGTCGAAGGAGGAGGCTGTGAAGCAGCTTGAACAGTTTGGTGCTGGCGTGCTTGCTAAAGTTCAAGAACCTGCACCGAGCACAGTTCCCGTGACGCCGTTGGTACGCACTCTTGCATGAGCGACCTATTTCAGCCCTCTGCATGTGTGACACCTCTAATTCATTTTGATTTGTAGGCTGCAAAGAGCGTCGATGCAAGTGCATCAGGAAGTATCGACGGTGAGTTACAAGAGCGAGGATGTCTGGTGGACGCCCAAAAGCGCGCTGCATCTGCAAATCATTAGCATCAGCTTAGATGCCTTATAGAAGGCACCATATTTTTGCCTTGGCGCGCCCATGCCACGTTGACAACTTGAACAACAGCCTTCTGCCTGCCTTCGTATTGGTCGCTCAGGTGGCCTTCTCGAATTGAATAAGGACACTTTCTGGGAGTACCTTAAGCTTCAAGGCGATACGCTAGTCGTTGTGGATTTCTACACGGTAAGGCCTAATAAGTATAGATGATACGGTCTCAGCCCGGGAAACCGTTGGTTTTTTTACACCAAAGGATATCTGTTCAGTCAGCCAGCCACCAGTGCCCGCTGCCATGCGGATTCAGAGTTGCTATAGCATCGCTGTGCTTGGCAAAGCCTAGCTAATCGCTCGGCTCGTAACTTCTCCAGTCTGCGTCCGTTTGCCGGCCTGCCATTACTCTTCCGACCGGGACGCGGCGGTCTTTCTACCTTTTTGCTTCCTGACGGATTTGCCACGGTGAACCGGCTTTCTTGCGTCCCAAGGGGCCCTGAAATCCAGGGACCTTCAGACCCGGCCTCTTTATCTTATCCGAATGCCCACCTCCCCTCTTTTTTATTTATCATGCTTGCCCGCCTTGCTTCCCGGCCATCGTAACCAGGACTGGTGCGGCCCCTGCAAGCTCATTTACCCCGAACTGGTGAAGCTCTCGCAGGAGAGGACTGATGTGCGGTTTGTCAAGGTACGGATAGGTGTACGGCCTGTTGTACATTCTTGAGCTGTGAAACCTTTATGCGTACCACTTTGGAGTCGCTTACTCTTCCCGCGTCCTTCGAGCACATACATACCGTTACACAACACTAAAGAATTCTCCCTCTGTCACACTCAGATATATATGATGTCGTACAGATCCTTTGTCGTAGCAACAAGACACAGATTACCCAGGCGGTCTGACCGAAACTCCATTACCTACCTACTCGAATGTCCTACAACACTCCCACACGTGGGCAGACCCACGGGTCACTGCATCGCAATTTAGCGGGCACCCATCGCGCGAACGCACTTCGAAAACTGCGGGAAATGGCAATGGCTCCTTAGTATAAACACATCCGCCACCATATCCTCCGACTTGCAGTATCGGAACTCAACTTCCCCACGCATGATGGGCTGCTCATGGGCCCACGAGCACAATGGTGCAGCACACGTCGATGTGCTTTGACCGGGCGGTAGTGTTCGTTCCTGTTTACCAGCTACCATTTCCAGTGCCCCGCCTGGTGGTCACACCAAATCGGTATTTACACATACCGAGAAAACACGCAACTTCAATAATATCTCGCGCGAGACAGAGGTGACGGAACCACAGCGGAACCTTAAATCCGTCGCAAACCCACTCGCCACGTACTCGGCCTCCGCAGTCGATGATGTTGCCACTCTTGGTTGCAGACGGCTTGAAACCACCAGCTCACAGCACCACTGGCGTTCAAAAACACATAACCGGTGGTGGTCGACCCCGCCTTGTATCACCTCCACGCAGCTCGCATAGTCCGAATCACAGAAGCTATGAAGGCCTCCTGCACCACCAGACTTTCCAGAGTACACAAATGCCTACACCACCACTCGCTATACCAAATGCCAAATAGCGCACAACACCCTTTGTAGCTTTCCAGCGCTCAACCAGTGTAGGTGTTGTGTACTCTGGTAGTGAAGTCAGGACCGCCATTTGCTGTGTGACACACGACCTTTGTTTTTGCGCAAACAGCCATCGCGCCAGCATCCCATCAAAGGCATCCCATCAAACCAAACACGTTTAATTCCCCCGGAGGGTGGCACCTCCCTCATGGCTTTCCTCAACTGCCCTCCACGACGTGCCCCCTTCCCCACCTCTCCCCACCTCTCCCAAAAACAAAATACACAGTCACGCTGAGCTCGCTCGCCCATTGTCCCCTGCAACGAATGTCCCCTGCCCTTGTTCGCCCAGGTTAACTGCAACAAGACGAACAAGGAGCTCGGTATCGCCCTGGGAATCAAGGTGGCCCCCACATTCCAGGTGATCCACAAGAACCATGTTTGGGGACACACATACACACACATACACGCACATACACACACATACACGCACATGCACGCACATACACACACATACACACACATATACACACATACACAGCCTCGTGGCTGTCTCCGTTTGCACTCGGGATCTTCTTTCTACACTCGGCCACCTGCATGCACACACCCGACGCGCAAGCGGCCCCCCACTTACCCCCACTTACCCCCTTTTGTTTCGCTGCCCGCTCTGCTTTCTCGCTCTTCTCCCCCCCTTTCCCCCCCCCTTCCCGGTCTCTCTCGGTCTCTCCCGGTCTCTCTCCGTTCTCCGGCGCCGCAGCTGTACCGGAGCTCGACAAAGGTCGCTGACATGACGGGCGCTAAGCTGGACAAGCTCATCAGCCTCATTGACGAGCAGCAACAACAGTTTGCCGCCAGCAATTGACCTTCGCTGGAGTAGTGGAGGCTCCCCGGGGGGGGTGTCGGTGCCGCAACGGGTTAATGTTATTGTTGGGCGCTGATGCTCTGTCGCTGGAGCTGCATGGGACTCCGGAAGGAGGTTGAGAGAGAGGAGGACCGAGAACAGCGCGAGCTGCGTGCACGTCACCGATCAAACAGCCCCGTGATTGCGAATACTGCAGATGGTGTTTGGTGCCATGTGGTGACTTCAGCCCAAGGTCCCAGGGACGAGAGGGGTGTCTGCCGATCCACGCGAAGGTCGGCCGTGTGATGCGTTGTGTCGCTGCGAAAGATTGGAGGGGAGCTCAAGAGGCATCTCAGAGGGCTGTGATCTTGGTCGGAGCGGTGAGCTTCGTAAGCTTATGATGCGTCAATAATTTTTTTATGTGTTTCTCGCCAGTGTGGTGAATTAATACGTTTATTTCTCCTAACGAGTTTGGCCATTTCAGTCAAAGTTATGAAAAAAGGCGTGTTATCGGGCTATCGGATTCTGTGAGCTTGCCGACCCGCTCAACTGCTATGTGTCGCACTTTTGCGCCGAACTTTTGAGTTTCGATTTAAACAGGTATGCAGCTTTAGCAGAGAGGCGTGACATGATTGTGCGTTTCTATTGTGTTTATTTGCGAGCTTCCGCGGTCATGTATGCTTTCAACGGTGCGAGCTTTACTTGAGGAGGTGCGTAAAATATGTCTTGTTGACGCACAACGATTTGATGTTTCACCCCGAGCAAATGTGCTGTGTAAGTATGACTGACATCTATGCGGTCTAGATGGTTCGTTTTCTTGTTCTTCTGTCCGTCACCTAGCACGATCCTGAAGTGCATTTCTGATCAATAAACACGGCGGAGCTATTGCAGTCTCCTCCTTTTCAGCGTTGACCGGCACACCGCATATGCCTACCTTCAGTCGCTAAATTGGGGCGTTCAGTATGCCTCCGTAGTGGTAGTGCTGACGTAAGATACAGCAGCACCACCACCACCACCACCGCCAGTCTTGAGGTGGCTTTGCCATTTCAGAGCCTGTGGGGGGGAAAAGGGGGGAGCCGGTTCGCCGGGGGGGGTTGTTTGCTGCCGGCGGAGAGAGGGTGTGTGTGTGACGCTATTGGTTTTCTAAGCACCATGAGATTGTGGCGGAAGAATGTAGCGCCAATAGCTGTTGTCGTATTTGTTTCGTTGTTATGTAAGTCGTGCAGCAGCAGTGCGCCTTCTTCTTTAAGGCGCGTAAAGGCCAATCGATTAATCGCAAAGGAACAACATTACGAATAAATCTGGGAATAATCTGTTTGAAGATGCGACGGTTGAGATGTTGGCTCTGCGGCGACGGGATGGATGGACCGTTGTGCGTTTCCGGTTTGTCGTTGTATCGTTGCAACTGCCAATTGTAACTGCCAGAAGTCTAGGGTCTCGGGAGAAGATCTTTGGGGGTGCTGGTCAGGTCAAACGATGTAAGACGGTACCGGTTCGTGTCAGTGCCACGTCACGCATTTGTGCGGAACTTGTAACTTGAAACTTGGGTAAATAAATTATGAAGATATCGGGTCCAGCCGAAGGCAAGGCCACAATCATGCGGCCACGTTCGAGCTGGAGGACCTCGCATGCCAGGTGAGTCTTCATCTCTACAAGCAAAAGTCGCGCTACCTTCATACGCTTCTTGCTACTGGGGGTGGCTGCAGCATGGGGGCGAGGAGAGGGGCCGAGCGCTGCGGGGTATGCGGCCACTGCGAGGGCCATAGTTAAGGACTTGTAGGGGTGCCGGACGAAAAACAAAAAATGCCGGACTGGTCGGGAGAACGGAATCGAGTACGGAACGGCTAATCCCCGTTGACCACCTTGAGGCGCTTTTTCAAGCCCGCTCGTTCATTCTGCGCAAGTTTGTATTTGTTTAAATTATTTTCATGCCCAGGGTGCGCAAATGGTCACCTGCCGACCTGCCAGGAGGGGAACCACACAGATTGGGGGCTCGGATGTTGTGACGCGGTGTTGCTTTCCAGGACGGCCGTCTGGAATGGGGGTGTGTCTCCTGACCTTGAAGGACCGTCCGAAGTGAAGGTAGTTGCCTCTCATCCGCGCACCGATGGCACCGGAAGGTGAAAATTATAGGTCTGAACCTCAAGAGTGTGCGTGTGCGTGTGCGTGTGCGTCTGCTTCCATTCCGACTTCAGACAGTAGCCCTCCCCTCCCGAGCAGCCCTCCCGCAAGCCATCCGTCAATCAAGCGACTTGATCGCCACTACGACTACCGTAATCCATCCTCGTAAACCGCGTAATGTAGTGTAACGTAGTTTGGCAACCCTCCAGCTTTACAGACCAACGTGTAACATGAAAGTTGGGCCTTCGGCTCGTATGGGTAGTTTTACAGGTATGGGGTCACGCACCCCCAACCATGTATAACACACACACACACACTCATTCTGTACATGAAAGCTGTGCTACATGCGGGGGGCGTATGGATGCTGCTGCAACAGGGTTGACAGGTACAGGGAAGGTCTTTTTTCTCGCTTCCCTCCTACCTCGCTTTCCTTTAATCGGTATTGTGTCGTACTGTACTGTAAATGCTGTCCTCGGGATCAGGAGATCCGCCGGTAATCACTGCTCGTACTCAAATTTGAGCTGTTTTGGGTCCACTTGCCTTGTGGAGTTACGAGTTACAAGTTCCGCACAAGTGCGGGGGTGTCCGTAAAAGCCGCGGAGGGGCCTTGCCTTGAAGAGCGGGGACATTACTATTTGTGGCTGGTTTATCGCGGTCATGCGATATATGCTGCAACGGCTGCCTCGCTGAACCACAACACAGAATTAGACACCCTGACCTGCACAGCCAGACGGGAGAAAAGTAGTTTAATGATTGGCTGCCGCCGACTGGTGTGGGCTTAGCTAGACCCTGGCGAGCTGCTTCACACCGCCTCACCCAGCTGAGACTGAGACTTCGGCAGGGAGGTTGGCAGACGAAGCCACCTGATGCCACACGCCGCGCTTTATCAGCTGCTGGTGGAGTGCTTCAACTTGTTTAGTGCCTGCCTGCGCTCTGTGGGTGTCCCGGGGCACACACCCAACCCCACACGCCCCCACACACCACACACACACACACACACCACACATATTATACATTTTCGATTTATTAAACTTTTAAAAAGTCGTCCCAGCTGCGTGCCAATATGCCATGCGGTGGACGCCATCAAGTCTCCCCCTGTGTTTAAAAGTCTCAGGGGATCTCCGACATAAACCCCAAACCCCATGTGCTCACGTACTCTATTTGGCACGCGATACACGGTGACACTTCAGGCGAACACAGACCATACCAAGGTCTCTTCAAGTCTTCAAGGGGCCCCAACCAACCAAAACCAATCGGGGTCCGGTTCCTCCGCAGACGTGGGCGACCAAGACAAAAGCAACAAAGAAGGCTCTGAAGCACACACACACAGAAAATCCCAGCCGGACTTTTCAATACAACTTAAGTAAAGGCTCTTAAGGCCTTGTTGCCTTTTTAAGAGCTCGCTGCCTTGCAGAACGTTTCTTACCGTCGCCAATGCCAACATATTATTAAACATTTACAGACACGCGACATAAAAGAAGCAAAAGCGCACAAGCGCCCGCAAGCCGGCAAGAAGCGGCACATAGCAATGTGGCGCACATACATTTTCAAAGGTATGTGCGTTTTAAGTTCGTTTCAGGGCAGGTTGGCGAGGGAGGGAGGCTGGCTGGCGGGCTGTGGGCCGCGTGGGGGGCCAAGGGACCCCACCTCCGCGCGCTTCCCACATGCCACCTACAACATGCTCTCCATCGCCAGCATCTCCCGGCGTATCGTAGACGGTGCTTTTGCACCATACCCATAAAACATCCTACTATCCATCAGCAGGTTGATCCCTACCACAGCCACCTACTCAGCATTATGCACTTCCTCAAGAAACCCACAAAAAGGAACCAGGCGCTATCGTACAGGGCGCTATCGTACTTCGTACAGCATGTACTGCTGCATCCCACCGCCTAAGAATCCCTAGCTTTCTCCCTTTCCCCCCCCCCCCGGGCCGGATTTCAGCATCAAGGCATTTGCCTGTGTCACAAACCCCTTATGTGATACACATCCAGTGTATAAGCAACCACTAGCGCAAGAAACGAAGCGCCCGTACCGTACGACGCAACTACCAACGGTATACATCGCGACTGTACGGCATCCGTACCGCTGTGCCGTGCCGGTGTGACAATCGGGCCTCCCACAGTACGGCGGCGCCGAAATGAATCATAATGCAGGTGCAAACCCTAAGCAAATATCCAATACATACCCCTCCAGCCGAGAAAAACGCACTGCGGTAACAAGGGGGGGCATTACGGCCAGCAGGAAGTTCTTAAAAGCCTGAGCCCTCCTCTGGAGGAGGCGTACATAGGGCCCTGATAAGGACGTCGAAAAGCCACACAGGCCAACAAAGTGTGCCTATACCGGCGCGTGCCCGTCCAATCTCCAGCCCGCGTCCCCCCCCCGCTGTCCGCCCCCGCCCTCCCGCCTCCTCGGGGCCCCATCCCCGGCGGCGAATGCTTTTTCGTTTCACAATGCCTTCGGACTTCGGAGCAGATATCGTTACTGAGAGTACTTTAAAGAGGCCTGTCAGCCCTGTCGAAGGTTTGGTTCTTCAATTTCCCTTCCCCTTCCCCTTCCCCTGCCACATCTTCGTTCATCGGCATCCCACCCTCCCTCCCACCCATACTACTATGTTTCAGAGGGTAAAAACGCTTTCAGCGCCGTCAGGGTCCACACCTGCTATGGGATATGCGCAACCGGTACATATACTCCGTCTTACGTACATCCGTATGTATGCCGTACATAAGCATGTACGTACGTCCGTACGCACGCACATGCATTTTATATATACACACACACAGACGTCCGACATGCCGATATGTAGCAGCCCGTTCCGGTGAATGGACCTCTCGCCGCTATAGCAAAAAAATGAGAACGAGAGCAGGAAAAGAGACGGACTCGATCTCCTTCTCGGCCATCAGCGTCGGCCGCTGCAGCAGCAGCTGATCCTCCTCCTACTCCTCCTCTTCCCCCCCCTCCTCTTGGGCGCTGTGCAACACAACGACGGCCCTAAGAGTGCGACCATTCCAACCTCTCCCCCATGCGCACCTCCCCCCCCCTCTTCTTGGCTCCGGCTCCGAGCAGTCCCCACACATACCGTACAACCCCCGTTCGCACGCCATCAACCAGCACCCCAACACGTGTGCCTCCAACAAACACAAGAGGACATCCAGCAGGAGGGAATCTCCCTTTCCCGGGACTGTTAGGTGTTAGGGGAGTGGGGGCCGGGTCTTGGGGAAAGCGATATCCCCCAGTATTTGCAACTGGAACGCTCCTTTCGAGGTTTGAGACATCTTCGCGCACCTCGAAATGCAACATACATACATACATACATACATACATACATACGTCCCTTGAGGGGGAAAGCTAGTCCCTGGGAACCACTGAGAATTTGGAACGAAGGTGGTGGCTTTAAAAGCCGCGGAGCACTGGGCCAACAACAGCCACCGCAACAAACGCGGCAGTAGCAGCAGCAGCAGCAGCAACAACAGCACAGCGCTGGAGCGGAGGCAGGAGCTCGGGACACTGGTCAGTATTTGTCACACTTCTCACCACCCGGCCGGAGAGGGGGGAAGAAACAGCACCCACGGACAAAATGACCACCTCCAGGTCAGGTCGGGTCGGGTCGGGTCGCCTCCCCGAGTGCGGAAGGAAGGACGCGTGAGGAGCGCCCTCACACAAGTCCGCAGCCGGAGGAGAAGGGCGCCCGGGCCCAAGCCGCAGTCTCATACCACAGCCGCGGGTGTCGTCACGCTGTGACCACCCTCTCACCGCTCTGCGCCAGTGCTTCCAGTGCTTCTCATCGCCCACCGTCCCGGGCTACCGTACGTGGCCTCAGGACCACACACCCGCTTGGGGGGGGGCGGGGGCACAAGGCCCCCAAGGCCTGAAAGAGATCCAGATAGGGTTTCACCGCACCAAATCGCCAAAAAACCACGTCACGCCACGTCACGTCACACCTCGCACCTCGCACCACGCGGCGCGCCGTCACCGCCCCGTAAAAACAATCCCGTTTGATGTGGCGCTGTAAAGTTGGCACGACATGACATGACATGACAGCAGATGACAACATATGCCAGAAGATGCCAGATGACATATGCATGGTATACACGGTTTCTTCAGTTCATGCCACCATTCTCCAGTTAGAGCCAGCCCGACCGCCCCCCCGCGGGCCCCCGACCGCCACCACACTCTTTACGTCCATTACGTAGGAGTGTGTGATCGAATAGTCCCTCGGCTCTTTTAGTCCATGAAATCACACACGCACAGGGTCACATGAGACCGGAACAACGCAACCCCCAGCTGCTTCTTCAGGCGGCACCTCAGGTACCTCAGGCAGGCACAGACAGTACCTCACCTCTCCCCCCCAGTCCTGTAACACAGTCCTCGGCTCCTCTCCACCAACGGGCCCCTTTCCCTCCCTCCACCAACCCCCTTTGTGCAACCGCCTCCTGCCCTCGAGTCGTGTGTGTGTGTATGTGTGTGTGTGTGTGAGAGACGGATCTAATTCCGGACGACGCGGACGGAGTGATAACTTCCCCCCTCACCCTAGAAATTCCACCAAAGTCGATTTTTTTCACCAAAGCCGCGGCCGGCTTGCCGTACAACCCGCGAAACGCGAGTGCAAGTGGGGGGGAGGGCGTCAGGAGCATGTGGCGGCTGACAAGTGGGGTTTGACGGGGTGTGGTGGGGTGTGATGAGGTGTGGTGATCTCCAGTACCGGTGTGCTGAAGAAGAGCGGCGCAAACGATGGATGGATGCTCACATACACATATATCCTCTCCCCCCCTCAACACACATACATACACACACACGGTTGTACACCAGGAATGCAGATGTACACTTTTAAAGTTGGACTTTGATAACACAATATGTTTTTGAGATGCAGAGAGACACATACACACACATACACGTACATATATACATACACACACGTATAAAGCACGTGAGTGAGTAACTTCACCCCCACCCCCCTGCCGCATGCAAGCCCTCAAGAGCATACAACAAGCCACACCGCCCCGGCCCGACCGAGCTCCTCAGGCCCTACACCTAAAGAGGCCTCTTGCAGCCACAACACAAGTTAAGAGCTTTCTGCCATTTCCACAATGCCGTACAATGCAGTACAGGGCCGTAATCTCACAACCCGATTAGAATGACAAGGCCGGTAGCAAGGGAATCGATATCGATACACACACACGGGGGAGCACCCAGCAGTGCAAAGGCCTCGCAGCCAGTGTGACACGCCACAAGTGCGCCAGGGCCACCAGCAGCACCCACAGCCACAATCACCAATATACGCGTCACAAGAGCTAGTGACATGTGACGCGATCGTGTCGGTGAAACAACCGGGGGTGAACCGGGTGCCCCCCCCAGACAGGCAGGCGACGGCACTCTGCCGTGTATCTATCACGCCCGGAGTCGTTTCGTTGGAGTACGTTGCGCAATGCAGCTTAAGAAAAAAGAACGAGGGGGAAAAGAAAGCGCGCGTGTGTGTGTGTGTGTGTACGCGCACTTGTGAGCTCTTTCTCCCCATCCCCCTCCCCCTCTCTCTCTCTCTCTCGTGGATATGGCTCTCCGTGCGAATAGTAGTGGTGCACCAAAAGGCTGGTAGAAGTAGAAGTAGAAGCAGCAGCAGCAGCAGCAGCAGCAGCAGCAGCAGTACTAGTGGTGGTGGTGGTGGTGGTGGTGGTACGCCGCGAGGGCCGCGCGCACGTCGAGGACCGTCCCCCCCCCTAGGGCCACTAGGGCAAACGACTGCATCGTGTTGCCTCTGTTAAGAGGCAAAACCGCGCCTGCAGTATTCCATATAATGTCTGACCTCCAACAAGCAACTGCTGCACAAAGCGCCACTTTTTGGCAAGTGACTGGGCGTTACAGCCGAAACACCAGCAGCAGCAGCAGCAGCAGCAGCAGCAGCACATCACCACCACCACCACCATCACCAGCAGCAGCGATACTCAGCACAGAGTTTTCAGGAAACCCGTCAAGACTCCCCCAGGTCCTCGAAAAAGGTACATACGTGTGCATCAACATGCGCCCTTTGCAGATACAGAACCCCATCCCATGTCCAACCCCCAAACCCCGACCCCCTCGAACGGGTCGCGACGGCAGGGAGCCCCCGTCCGCCAGCCGGGACTCAGCGCCACCTGCCCCGGGAGCGGAGCAGCATAACAGTCAGACAGCTCATATGCATGAAAGCCATCCTGCACACCACCACCCTTTGCAAATATGGTTGTTTGGATGGTCGGATGTATGTGCATAGATGACGACGGATGAAGGGATGTTATGTATCTATGTATGTATGTATGCACAGATGATGACGGGTGAAGGGATGTATGTATGTATGTATGCACAGATGAAGGGATGGATGGATGGATGGATGTCGCGTGAGCTTCTACGGCAGCTGCACGCCCCCGCAGCGTGGTACGTAGTTGACCATTACCGTTACCTGCAGCTAGCTCGGCGAACACGTGCGGACGTACATACAGAGGGGGCCACAAAGCAGCGCAGCATCGAAGAAGAACCAGAACCGGCGCGGAACCGCCAAACCGGAACACCACCTGCACCGGAACCTCTGACAGCCCCACGACATACATACATACATACATACATACACAGCTTCGCTGCCGTCCCGTCCCGTCAAGTCCCGTCCGGCCGACGACGCCGCATCGCACCAACCACTGCGGCGCCCATGTGGCAAACACACATCAATACGGTCCAACTGTCAACTCCAACTGACAACAGCCTTACCGTTACGATACCAACCCGTCCAACAGGAACGCCCCACCAACGAAATGCGTCTCTGCGCCGTTGCGAGTTGTAATTGAATGGAATTCCAACCAACCGACCAACCTGACAGACACAACAAGTTCGCAAGGCTGTTGAGCCGAGCTCAGGGGGGTGGTTGCATTCCGACGTTCACGTTAGGCCGCGAGGCGGCGTCTAGGCGTCTGAACTGAGCGGCTGACCCACTGGCCGCCCCGCCAGTCCCCGGCGTCGACAGCTATCTGGCTCGCCGCACTTAAGAGGCATCATCAACATGGTGGCGGCGGCGCAATCCGATGGCGAAACACCCCAGTCCGCAGTAATCGCAGTGGCGGCTGTCCTTGCAGCACCCGCCCACCCCTCCTCACCACCAGGCGCTACAATTACAATCGCGCTTCGCAGCCGCTGACACGGCAGTGCCGTGACTCCGGGGGTTGAATGTGCGTTTTCCTTCCCCCCCCCGCGTGGACATCGCCGCTGCCGCTGGGCAGCTGCCGCCACAGCAGCATACATACAAACAGACGGACAGGCATGCAGGCAGGCAGACCGACCGACCGACCGACCAAAGTAAAGTGCACAAGGGCGACATGGGCTTCTCATTTCACCTGCGTGCGTGCACCCCTTCACCGGCTTCACACCGCAGATTTCCCGACTGCGCTAAACCGCCCGCCCCGTCATGCAGCACCTGGGCTGCGTGGATGCGACGACACTGGGGCCGCACGGGGGCTGTTGGTGGCCGGTGGTGGTGGTGGTGGTGGTGGTGGTGGTGGTGGCTACCGGAAGAGTGGCAGTGCTGAGGCCCCACCCACGAGGTCCGCCAGGGCCTGCGGCGTGAGGTATAAACCACGAGGCACGGAATGGGGGAATGGAGGGAGGGAAGGAGAGAAGGGGGAAGGGAAGGAGGGTGGGTGGGTGGGTGGGTGGGTGTTTTACAAAGGACCGATCAGAGTTAGGAATGAAGAATACACATACACATGTACACGCAGCATTGCTCACGGATTGCTCATGGATTGCACACGGCATATCGCACAGCGCACGCGGACAGCGGCTTGGAGGTTCCGGAAAGCACCCCGGGGGGGGGGAGGGGGGAGAAAAGAGAGGGTCGCACCCAGCGACGTCGGGAAAGATGGAAAGGAAAAATGGGGAAAATAGGTCCGGCAAACCACCAGACATACATACATTTTTTAGGGCCAGGCGCAGCCCGCCCCCCCTCAACCCCCCAATCACACACACCTGTTGAGCGCTCCCAAAGGAGGTCCTGGCGCTGAAGAGACTGACCACCACATCCACGGTGGGTAAGTTGGAGATCACCGAATCGCATGACGGCGGCGGCGACGACGACTCCACCGCCGTTAAGGAGCCCGACCGCACAGCGCTATTGCCGCCTCCGCGACCTGACAGCAGGCGCTGATACTGCTGATGTTGTTGATAGTTTTGATGGTTGGGGCAATGATGCAGCAGCTGATGCTCCGAAAGGAGGAAATGGTGCAGCGGGGACTGCTGCTGCTGCTGCAGCAACTGCACGTCTTGATGCTGTCCAGCGCTGCAGCATTGCTGCTGCTGCTGCTGCTGCCGATGTACGGATACGATTACGCCGATGCTGTCCAGCTCCAACTGTGCGCGCATCGCAAGCTGCTGCATGGCGGGCTGCTTGTCGTGCAGTAAGGCCCCGATGGCCTCCATGACGCAACAGCCGCTGCCTGAGCCAGCGCCTGCTGGGGTGCTGTACGGCTTGGTTGCGGCCGCAGCCCCGTCGAGACCGGTAGGTATCGCAGCAGCGGCGGCGGCGGCGGCAGTGGCAGGTAAGGAGGTGAAGATGGAGCCCCCGGGACATGCCATAACCTGACAGGCCGCTGCGATGTTCATTTCCCTGAAACCGGGGGCAGTGGCGGCGGCACCAGCCCGCGCCAGTCCCGCTCCCGGTCCCGAATCCGCAACGCTGCCGCCGCCATGCACGTCTCCGTAAACGCCCTGCCACTCCTTCCAGCCGCCGCTGCCGCCGCCGCCGCTGCCAGCGTCGCGAGCTCCACCGGGGTTTAGAACCTCATCTTCAGGCCCCTGGTCGCCGCTGCCGCCAGACAAACATCTTGAGGTTGCGACAGGTCGCGTGGCGAGCCTCGCGTCGGCTAGCTCACGCACCTGCGCCCCGCCAACGTGATCTTGAGCCTCAGCTCCCCGGGATCGTACGACTGACGGCCGATGAGGGTCCGTAGCCGTACCCGTACCCGCGGTACAACCGCTTGCCGACGTGCCGTGGACGTTGGCCGCCGCCGCCGCCGGTTCTCCGCCGGGCCTCGCCGCGACGGCGGTCTGCAGACGAAGGGATGCTGTGGATGACAGCGCGGGGAGCTTGGGTAGCGGCGCGCCAGTGCCCAGTACGGCAAAAGGCGGACGCCCAGTTCGCTTCGCACGGGTGGGGGTGTTGGGCCTCAATTGCCCCATTGTCCGCACTCCCGGCGGAGGCGGCGGAGGCGGCGGCGGGCTGCAGCTACCGCCAGACAACAACCCTGCGCCGCTGCCTCCGCTGCTGCCGGCGCGGTGCTGTAGCAGCACAGCCGCGGTGGCCGCGGCGACGGCGCTGCCGTCGGCGCAAGCCGCAGGCTCGCCCATCTCAATCGCCATAACTGCGGCGGCAGTGGCTCTGCCCTCTCCTCCTCCTCCGGCGGCCGCCGCCACGGTCGTCGCAATTACCGTGCTTGCCCTTGTCTGCACCGCTGGGCGCGGGCACTGCTGTCGGACAATGCCACATGGGCCCCATGGGGGTCTCCCGGCGGCGGCAACGGTACAGCAGTTGGCGCCGCCGTCGTGTCCCCTCCCTGCCCCAGAAGCCGGCCAATCGCCGCCGCCGCCGCAGAAACGCCTGCAGCGTCCGAGCCCAGCTCTGCTTCCACCTTCACCTCGGAGCCCGGCCGTGTGACGTCATCGCCATCAGCGCCCGCTACTTGTACGATCCCACCGTCGCCGCCGCCGCCGCTGCCGGTCGTGTCGAAGTCGACGGCGTCGTGCCCAAGTGCCGCCTCAAGGAGCCCCGCCAGGCCCGCGGGAATGCCATCGCCGCCGCCGCCGCAACGGGCGGCGGCTGTGGCCTGGAGGCCCCCCTTCGCCGTCACAGCGGCGGCGCCGCCGCCGCCAGCCATTTCAATGCTGGTTCCGGAGCCCCAGCCTGGCGGGCCATAGCTCACTAGGATTCGCCGTTTCGCTACCGCAGTCGTTGGAGTCGCGTCGCTGTACTGAAACGTATATTGCTGCTGCCGATACAAGGCGCCGTTATGGTGTTGTTGGTACAGGTAATTGAGGTTGGTTGCGTCGCCGCTGCGCTGACGCTTTGCGGTGACCGTACCGGCGGAGCCGCCGCCATTCACACTCCAGCGGCGGCCGCTGCCGAATCCGCTGCTGCGCCGGCTGCTACCGCCCGCACCGTACGGCGGCAGGTAGTCGGCGTCGTGCTCGTGGTCGTCGACCTCCATCTCTAGATCCAAGTCGTCGGGGGACACAGTCGGATCTTCGTCGTACACCTGTACGGAAGGCAATACACGAAGAATTCGCGGAGGACTTTCTGTACAGCGTTGAACTACTCCCAAACCCGTTGCTTTGTCAAGGCTCTCTCCCCAATACACCCATCACACCCCAATACACCCATCACACCCCAATACACCCATCACACCCCAATACATCCATCACACCCCAATACACCCATCACACCCCAATACACCCAACACACCCCAATACACCCATCACACCCCAATACACCCATCACACCCCAATACACCCATCACACCCCAATACACCCATCACACCCCAATACACCCATCACACCCCAATACACCCATCACACCCCAATACACCCAACACACCCCAATACACCCAACACACCCCAATACACCCAACCGCGACGCGGGCACAGCAGCATCTTTTTCAGAAGGCGGCGACCATTAGGGCTGCGACCAAACATACATACAGACCCTCCCAAGCGCCTTCTCTTAGGCAGAGACGCCATCCGGCCCTTCAAAATCATGCATTCCGAGCAAGCGCGCGCGCACACACACACACACACACACACACACACACACGCACAGCTCCTTCGCCCCCTCGCATTTCTCCTCTTACCCTTCTCCGCTTGTTGCTGGTGGAGTACAGCGCCCCAAAGTACGCCCCGCCGCCGCTCTGGCGGTGGGGAAACCCCCGGCTCGTGTCCATGGCCCCCCCCTGCTGCTGCTGCCGCTGCTGCTGCTGCCCGCCAGCGCTTTTCCCTCCACCGCTGCCATCCGCCGCACCGGTCCCGGGACAAACCGGCGTGTAATACAGGCGACGTAGCACCTCCGGCATTCGCGCCCAGGCGCCCCCCGCGGCCTCCAGCTCCCATTCGTCCTCCCCCCAGCACCACACATCGCCCTCGCCATCCATCCGCGACCGAATGGGCTTGCCTATTTTGGCAACAGACCGTATCATAACAAATAATATTAATGATAATGACAATGATAATGACAATAACAATAATAATAATAATGAAGTGGAAAAGCCAAAGCAGGTAAGGGCTTTGGCACTACCTAGGAACAAACAGACGCGTGATGCTGGTGACGATAGCGACGACAATCACGATGATGATGATCTCACATAATAATATACCACACAGTGCAGTTGAGGGAAGATGAGAGCGCGCCTGTGTGTGTGCTTGCGTAGATTAGGGAGTGGCAATGGTTGCTGTTGTGGGGGGGGGCCAGGGTTAGGCTTCTCGGCACACACAGAGCTGGCAGGGCTGGAAGGGCCCTGAAACCCTGATAGATAACACCGGTCTTCTTCACACTGACCCTGATAACACTCGGCAAACAAAATGCTGCCTCCGAAGAATATTATTATTATTATTATTATTATTATTATTATTATTATTATTATTATTATTTCTTTAATCAACTTGTTAAAAAAACAGCCATGCCTCTGCCTCTCTGTGTCGATACATCTTGGCAGAGGTTCTATTCCCCGTGTTCTATGCCCCCGCTAATCCCCTCAGACTTACCCTTCCGTCGGTTCCGCTGTGGCGCCGGCGGTGCCTGCGCCACATCCGCCCTGTTATCCCCCGGTGTCTGCCATTGAACCGACTCCCAGGCTCCCAAGCTGCCGCCGGAGCCGTACTCAGGCGCCGGCTGGGAGGTACCTCGGCTGCCCGCGCGTGGCCGCGCTGACGGCCAGAGTGCATTTGCCCCCAAGTCGCAGCTGTACGGGTCGTCCAGGTTGCCGCTGCTATCGCCGTACAGGTAGTAGTCCGTCCGGGCGCCGCTCCGAGATCGGTGGTGATGATGATGGCTGTGGTAGTTGCGGCGGGCAGCGGCGCCGCCGTTGCCGTTGTACTGCGAATGGGGATGAAAGCGGTCCCGCCGCGGCGGCCGCCGGCCCAGCAGGATCTCCTCCTGCTCCTCCTCCTCCGCCTCGGCTTCCGCACGGGCCGCAGCTGCGGCCACGGCTGCTGCCCTGGCGGCGGCGCGCCGGCGGCTGCCGTGGTGCGGCACAGCCGTGCCGTCGCCGCTGCCGCGCCGGCCACCGCCTCCATGTTCGGCATCGGAGGCGTCCCCGTCACCCCCAGATTCCTCACTCAACACTGGATAAAACGCGTACGGGTTCGACTGCGAATGATGATGATGATGATACGACAGTGGGAACTGCACACCCTCGAACGGTGTCCGTACTCTCTCCTGCCGTCGCCGCGCCCGTCTGGGGATGTGTTTTCGTGGGTGTGCGACACCCGGCTCCCAAGTTATTCCCCCAGCATCGCTGCCCTCTTCCGCCGCGGCCGCCGCCAGCGCAGCGCCGCTGCTGCCGCTACCGTCGCTTTTCCCATGCACTGCTTTCGCAGCAGCAGCAGCAGCAGTGGCGGCGGCGGCGGCGGCGTCGACGGCACCGCTGTCTACGGAAGCGCTGGCGCTAGCGCCCTCCGGACTGGCCCTGGCCGCGTCAGCTGCCGGCAGCGCCGCCGCGCCCTGTAGCGGCGCCCTTTGGCTTGGGCCGAATAGCGTAGCAGCCGCGCAATCCCATGGTGCCGCCGCTGCCGTACGCGGTTCCGCCTGCTCGCCCGCGACATCCACGTTGGCAGGCTGCCCTGCCGCGACCCCACTCACAGGCCCGGCGCCACCCATCTCGATTTCGCCACTCTTGCCGTCCCCTGAAGCTCCCGCCGCAGCCGGCTCCGCCGAAGGCACTGCCGGTGCTGCGGCGGCGGCGGCAGCAGCAGCAGCCGCCGCCGACGCACCGCTTCCCGAGATTCCCGTGGTAACTGCTGGGAAGCTGCGTCTGTGAGGTCGCTGCCCGGAACGTGTGCTTGGATCCTCCGTCGCCGCTACCACTTGTTGGTGGTGCTGCTGCTGTTGTTGGTGTTGTTGGTGCTGCTCCTCGGACGGATCCATGTCGTCGTCCTGCGGGGTCGCAAGTGGCCGGGAGACACAAACCGAACGGAAGGATTCCTTACTTTTTTTCGGCTACTAAATAACCCATGCTGTTCTTCCTGCTTCAATAATCCATAAACAGGTACTGCAGATACTGCTACGGCTTCACCGAAGGAAACACCCTCTCAAAGGGATTATGACAACCTTTGGGTGCTCCCCCTCGGTTTCTTTTCCCGTATACGTCAATCAACTGCTGTTATGTCACAGAAGCGGATAGTCTTCTCGCTAGGTGTCATCACAGATACTATAGGTGCAGCTGCTTTGCCATTTTCATCGGAAAGATACGCATTCAGCAGAACAACAGCTTAAAAACGGTATTTCATGCAATAACGGTTTTGGCCAATTAATTGCGAGAGAAATGTTTAAATTGATAACTTTCGTTTTGTAGCGTAGTTTATCTTTTTATCTACAGGGGGACTCTTGGAGGGATATTCCTCCAAGGCATTCCTGCATCGTGGCACTCGAGGAACCTTGTTGCCTGATCAGGCGACGAGACCCGAGGCACCAGGCAGCATTTGCCAGTCCGCAGCAGCAGCAGCAGCAGCAGCAGCAGCAGCAGCAGCACCACCACCACCACCGGCACCACCACGAGCTGTTGTGATGCTGCGCCGCGGCGAACCGGAAAACGCAGAAGACAAGCTATGGCCAGCGGACCAACTAAACTCCCCCCCTAATTCTCCCCTTCCCCTGTTCCCCCTTGCCCACTGCGAGCTGTGGTGCGAACTATAAAACCCACCCAAAGCCCTCCTACCCCGTGGGGGTGGGGGTGGGGGTGATGGTCCGTCCTAGGGCGACCCGAAACCCTATAATCCTGGTCAGGAACCTCAGGAACCGCAGGAACCTCCTGCTCATATACACCTACACTGGTGTCATCAGAGCTCGACCAGTCGCCCCGATCGCGCTTGGACCGGTGCCCTTCCGCGCTGGCGGCCCCAGCACCGCCCCCGTCCGCGCCACCCGCAGCCGCAGCTGATGGCTGCTGGGCCTCCGCTTCGGCGCCGGCTCCGGAATCCCCCACCGCCCACGGCGGTAATGGCAGCGGCAGGCCGTTGGAGGATGAGCCCAGCTTGCCCCGCTTAAAGGCGGTGGGCTTGGGCTCCCAGGCGCCGTCTCCCTGCAAAGACCCAACAATGCCAGGTGTCCAGGTGAATCGCATGTGTGGCTAGGCTCGCCACACATCGCCAGGTTCGGAACCCAAGGGTCCCCAGCCAAGGTGTCCTCAGCCAGGCGGGAAAGGGGATGTTAAAATGAAATCCGCAGCCAGTCGTAAATCCGGGGAAACGCAGTACGTGGCCAGCTGTGGATGGAAACTTAGTATCCTAACGCTTGCCGGGAGGCATTGCCACACCACCGCTCCACTTTCCCGCACACTTTTACCTTTCCTCAAAGCCGACTACCCGGAAATCCACCTCGCACGTCGGAAGGGCGTGGACCCATTCCCTTACGCCAGGACTGCACCAGAGCGCTCATCCCTGTCATCCCCTGTTTCCTCAATTTCCTCAACACCCCCCCCAAAAATCCCCATGGTTTATCCATCCCGCGCAGTTCCTTTCCTTCACTCTAGAGACACTCTAGAGAGCGCTGAGCGCCCTGTCCGCCCCCCCCCTTAGCGCCACGCACCAAGTGCTTCCAGTCCTTGCCCTTGTATGAGCCCCTCCAGATGCGGTCGCTCGTGACTGGGAGCCAAAAGGGCTGCTGCTGCTGCTGCTGGCCGCTGCTACTGCCGTTGATGCTAGGGTTGGGCGCCCCGGGCACATCCACCAGTACTCGCTGCCCATCCACCGACTCCCGCATCAGCCGACCCCGGTACCAGCCCCGGCCCGCACGGATCATCGGCAGCTTAGGCACCTTCAGTGGGCCAGACAGCGAATGTCCCTGCGCAGCTGCAGGCGCCTGTTTTCCCTGGCCGGAAGGCTGTGCAGCTGCAGCGCCAACCGCCGCTTGTCGCTGGCCGGCCCTGCCCTGGGGCTGTGAGTGCAGGTCCTCATCAGCGAGGTCGGATCCCATAGCGGGCGGCGGCCCGGCCGCCTGAGCAGCCTTATGCTGTTTCTGCAATGCCGCGCCCGTGGCCGGTAGCGGCGGAGGTAGCTGCAGCGCCAGTGCTGGTGAAAACGGCTTGGGTGACGTGGCCGACGGATCGCCGTCAGCTGTGCCAGCTGCAGCCGCAACATAGCTGTTCTCGTTGTCGTTCTCCGTCTCGTCTGTGGAGCTGCAGCCCCCAATACTGGCGCCCGTGGTCACGAGGGCCCGTGGGCCTGCAGCAGCCAAGGACGCCGCCGAGGCAGCTGCCGCGCCTGCTTCGGCAGCGGTGGCCGCGTCCGGGGGGGGGATGTGAGTCGCGCCAGAGCCAGAGCGGTCGCGCCCCCGCGACGGCGACAGGGACTGCGATTGGGACGGTGACTGTGATACCACACTGCTTCCTTCCCGTGTCGGACCGCTAAGCAGGGTGTTGCCCGCGCCGCCCAGCACACAGTTGGGGGTCACGGCCGTGGCGGTAGTGGGTGTGCCCACGCTGCCGCGCGCCGCATGGCCCTCCGTCCTCCTCCCATCGTTGCTCCCTGACGCAGAAACCGAAGAGGGTGGTGGCTGGTTCATGCTGCTCAACCCCGCCAGGTAGCGCTGTTTCAGCTTGGGCGGAAGCAGCGACGGCGGTGGCAATAGCGACGGGGGGGCCGGCGGCCGCGCGCCCGGCGACGGCGGCGGCGCAATGGCCGCCGACACAGAGCTGCCAGCTGGCTGGTGGCTTTGCTGGCCGTTGCCGTTGCTGCGGTCCGCATCGCGACGGGGCAGCGGCTGGCCGCCGCCTTGCTGATGTGGCGAGTTGTTTTGCTGTTGAGCGTGTTGCGAGTCAATGCTTGCCGCCGATGGGTCCACCCGGGTGTTCGCCATAGACCCACCCCGGGCGCTGCGGGTAGGACTGAACGCACCATCAGCAGCCTGTGACAGGTAGTACAACAGCGAGGCACCGTGAAAACTCATACACCCCTGGGTTTAGATCGATAGATGCTCATGGCCCGTGCTCGGATGTTGAGTTTCATCCCCAGATTTCATCCCCAGAAAACGGGCCATTGCTCCAGGGGAACAGGATGTGGCCGCGACTTTCGATTGGTTACTTGTCCCCAGGCGGATCACGCCTGGAAAGCCACACCAAGCTCGCAGAGCTGCCTTGAGCCACCAAAATGACCAACACGACCGCCGGACGACTGACGACCTAGTGCGTGTTACCCTAGGAACTGAGGACTGCACCTCATCAGCCGCCAACAGCATTTCCCATGCCGCAGCCAGTTCCTCCCAAATCGCTCTTATTGCGGCAGATCATCTTGGGGCACTGTGACGCCCTGGCCCACGCCCCACAGCATCCCGTCCCAAGCCCCGATGGCCCAAGCCCTGAAAGCCTTCCAGAGCCCCGTACCCTGATTGCCCGGACAACCCAGCCAAGCACCCACCCTGCCACCGGCGGACGAAGCCTGCTGCAACAGCAGATGCAGCTCCCGTGCAGGCACGCTGTTCCGCTTCCGCTTCACCGCCTCCCCGCCACCCTCCGTGCCAGAGCCCGGGGCTGACCCCGGTCCCGGTCCCGGTCCTGAGCCTGAGCCGCCGACCCCAGTCCCGGCAGCAGCCCCCGTCGTTCCACTGCCTGGCTCCGCTGTGCTCGCCTCCGCAGCAGTGCTGGCCACTGCATCGCCTGCAGCCGGCGCAGACTCGGAGATGGAAGGTAGGGACGGCAGAGAGACGCGGCCCGGACCGCCGCTGTGCGCCCTAGGCGTCTCCACGGCCTTTGGCTTCCCATGCGGAGAAGCCGTGCTACGTGCCGCTGGCGACAGGGCCACGCCGCCGTCCTGCCAGGAGTGGTGGCGCGCAGCGGGAGAGGGACGCATAGAAGGCTGTGGAGAAGGGAACTTTTGCGTAAGAAAGTACGGGGGATGAGCCCGGATGCGCCGTTGGTGAAAAGCGAGGCGCTGTGGGCGGCCATGGAAACAGGGATTAGCCGGACCGCTACTATGCGGGTGGGGTGGTTGCCCTCCTAATGCAGGATACTAAGCCCAGGCGGTCTCTAAAAGAGCCATGTGCACGTAGGATGGGTTTGGAATACTTGGAATACGGGGAAGGCCACCGGGTAAGCACCGGCCACCGCCCGCCACAACCCAACCTTGACCCGTCCCCGGACATGAGAGCAACACACGTGGCATAATCCCAAGGTTGAAGACATTATCCATATGACGGACCTCGGTCACCGCTTTGCTGCCACGCCGCGTCATTCGCGTGCCGTTAAGCTCCTCGTGCAGCCGACGAGCAAGCTGCTCATCGCTCTCTGCAGTTGCGTCTGCCAATGCAGGGCTGCTGATGGACAATGCCGGGAGCCGAGGAGAAAATGACGACAGGCCACCTGCATCCCCGTTGCCGAGGAGCAACTCGAGCTCGCTCCGCTTTTTCTTTGGTCTGCCAACATCCATCCTGCGTAAGATTCATTTGGTTCGTCAAGCCGCTTGAGGTCACAAAAGTTACAACATGTAGGGTACTGGGCGCAATAACCTAATGGCGATATTTTTAACCCGTCGAAAGGACGCTCACATGGATATTGGAAATCCCTGTGATAAGTAATATGACTTTGAGGAAGCACATATGGACTAAGAGCACACGACTTTCAGTTAAGACAGAGCTCGGCGGTTAACCAGGCCAAGCAACCATGTAATCAACTTCAAGGCAGAATACTGCATGCCGCACTTGGCGCAAGCGCTTCGGCAGGACGCAAGCAAACCTGTGGGCAAGGTCTCCGCAACCCAAAGACTGCGCCAGCGCCCCATGAAAGGCATTACAATGGATGTAAACTAAGTAAGCAATGCATATATTAGGAGGCAAGGTTCTCCGCACCCTTCCGAAGCCTTGCCTTTTGCTCTGCTCTTTGGCAACCCAAACACGCCGCAAGCCGTCGCGCACTTACGTCAAACCGATAAAACGTTATCCTTTGCTCTCGCCAAGCTCCAGCTCCAGCTCAGCTCCACTGAAAAGACTGCTTTTCACTCCATCCTCAGCTGGATTGCTCCTGGCCTTGAGCAGAGCCGTGCCCGATATAGCTTCAACACAAAGACAGTTTACGAGGATTGCGGGTCGTAGCCCGAAAAGAACCGGGGTGCGTTACTATAATTCCTCGCTCCGATCTGCAGCAAACCTGTCAAGCTTGTAAGAATAGGTGGAGGTATTAACATTATTGTATATTAAGAATAACGATTATGGCACCTGGTCTTGCAGTTTGCAAGGGTCTTTGACGGCGTCGTGAACGGCAATTGCCAGACGCAGAGGGCAATCCCCTTGTGACCAAAGAAACGACCCGCTAACGCTTCGCGTCATTTATACATTGCAGTTGTGATTGCAACATGTCTCTTTTCGCTTTGCACCTCAACCAGGACATGAAGTTCGCATTCCACTTATTAGGCATGAGTATCTTCACAGGGAAACAAACACTTCAGGAACCTGTGAACGACTGTCTAGTAGCTTATGGTGCAGACTGGACGCTCACGAGACCCACCGACGCGTGCCACGATTGCCGATGCGGTCACGACTAGACCCAACGATAGACACCGTTGTTGCTCAGCGTGACGCCTGAACCTAGGATCACCGTCTTGGCGGCGCCACTGCGGCGCAGTTCCAGCGGTCCTTAAGCTCTGTTTGGAGTTTGGTTTGCTCGGGACGAGCCGTCAAAGTATCCAGTTGCTCAAGAAAATCGGGAGTGTAAGCGATCGTCAGGACGCATTTGTATTAATTCATGTCGTTGGAGTGTTTGACGCGAGTGATATTGATCGTGTCATCGGCAGTGATGTTGACACTGGAACTGGCGCACAACGTCAAATCCTGTCGACCACCGCCTCCCAATGTGCTCGAATAAAGAAGCGGAACCTAGCAGACATGCCACCTGGGGAAGGGCCGACGGGCTTGGACCAGGGGGCGCCAGCGGACGGGGGATTGCCGCAAGTAGCAAGAGGAAGGAAAAGGGGCCGATAGCAGGGAAGGAAGAAACGTTGGAGGTGAAACCGGGATGTAAGGAGCCCGGGGAACAGCAAGCGGGAAGGGGAGAGGAGGCAGGCATGAGGCGGAAACTGAGGGGAAAGGAGACGGGTCAATGCGGCGGCGTGGAAAGGAATGGGACTAAGAGGGAGCGCAGGGGAAAAGATGCAGAGGAATGCGGTGGAATGCCCGGGGTATGCCTGACAGCAGAAAGCTAAGCGAGGGGCTGGGGAGTTGAGGAGAAAAAGCAGAAGTGAGACAGGGAGAAGAAAGGCGGGGAAGTGGAGGCCTACCCGGGCCCGGGCGAGGGCCAGGGTGAGCGGGAGGGGGTCATGCGGAGGGGGGTGGTAAAAGGCGAGGGAGGGCGAGGGAAAGGTATAAGGTGCACGGGGTTCTGGGGTTGAGGCAAGAAGGGGCAACAGTCGAGCAGCGCACGAGCAATGGCTCTTTCCGCAGAAGAGGTGCTCCACTCACTGCTGCTGTGCCTCTAGCTTATGCCCTCTCCCCACTTGCCATGTCTCACGACCACCCCAGTGTGCACCCTACCTACCTGCGAACCTCCCTTCGGCTGGCCCCCCACCTCCACCTCCACCTCCATCACCATCATCAGCATCAGATTCCACATAGGCCTCTGTAAGCACGTGCCAGGGAATTAAGAACACAAGAGGATGCGAGAACAGGAGAAATGTCAAATGAGCTCAGGGGCGGGGCTATCCGCTGTGGGATGTAAATGCTCAGGCTTTGTGGGGGCGTAAGGCCACGATGCCGGGTGTTGAAACGTAAGCAGTCAGACTCCACGCACAGCTGCTGAATCCTAACCTGGAGGATGAGCTTTTCCAGTGCTTGGGAACTGAGGAACGGAATCTACCGTACCGTATCCGTACAAAAGTCAAAACCGATTGTTTCTTCAGCCGTTAGAGCAACTTCATCACAGCTGCCTTTTTCCCAGGCGCCAAAGTCCTGATACATTTTCCCTTTCGTTTCTATAGAAGCCCTGCAGTATTTTTTCTTGTTTATGAATACTATTACGATAAATCGCATGGCACAGTAACTGGTCCAAAAAAGGACGGCAACTACTCGCATTCTGACACAAGACGCACAAGGCGCAGTCGCAATTCTAAAGCGAAGGATTATTGCACCAGGGCGCCAAACCATGAGCTCGTCTCATGGCAAATAGCAGGAGCGCTGCCGGCATGACATACACCAAATCCGCGACAATGCACATACGGCAAATACCACTTCGTATGCTATACGACCATTGAGGCCGAAAAGAGAAAGGCCATGCACACCTACAGGTTCGGCCGAAATTAGATAAGACCGGTACATATCTGCCTGCGGCAAACGGTGCAATCTTTAATCAATGCAGAATCAAATATTGTGTGATGTCGCGCTTCATGGAAGCATGAGCGGGCACCGCTACAGTATTCTGGCAGGTCTGGCTGCCGTTTTCCGTTAGCTGTACAGTCGAGCCTGTTGACGTCGAGCTTCGCCACCGGTTCGGTTTCTGAAATGTCTGATAGATGCGATATAGGCATGTCTTGTGTTCTATTATTTTGCTGGTATTTTAATCACACCGTGTTGACGGTTCCCTTGATCGATCCGAGCAACGGGGTTTATGATATACGAGAAGGCACGGCAAAATTCTGACATCATCTTATTGCGCGCCTGGACATAAAAAATGCAGCAATTTTAAAAAATCATGGAACTTGGCGCATAGAGATATGGCATCGCTCAATGACGATGGAAAAGGCCGCGCGACGTGTTGGGCTGACCTTCTGCCCGAGCTCCGAAAGCGCATTCTCAGCTCCCTGCCGCCCAACGAGGTGGCTTGCAACGTCCGCTTGACTAACAAGGAGGCTGCTGAGCAGTTTCGAGGTTACGTGAAAGTCCTGCTGGCAGATGCTACGCCGCATCACGCCTTCGCGCACCGATGGGGCGCCCCTGGGGCCATGAAAAGGCTGACTCTTGAGAAACGGAGTCAGCTCTGTTGCCTCACGGCGCGCAGTGGATGTCTGGATAACCTGCAGCTCGCGGTCAGTGCTGTGGGCTGCCCGTTAAAGGAAGATGTCTTCTATGCCGCAGCCGCGGCCGGCCATCTGGATATCTGCAGATGGCTGGTTTTGCAAGGATGCCACTTCTACTGGATCACGGCAATTGAGCACGCCGCTAGCCGTGGCCATTTACCAATCGTCCAATGGATACTGCAGCAAATCGACTGCGACAGCGAACAAAACTCACAATGCTCACAAAAGCATCTGCAGCGCCTCGTCACCACTGCCTGGGTTGCCGCAGCCAGCGCGGGCCACCTTACCTTGTGCCAGGGCCTGCTCGCAGATGGCTTTACACCTTGCAAGGAAGCTGTGTTCGCTGCCGCTGGATCCGGCCACGTAAGCCTCACAGCTTGGCTCTTGTTGCAGCTCTCCCCGCTTCTCCACCCGTTCATCGCAGCCGACGAGGAGATCCTGCTGTCGCGCGCCGCTTACGGTTTCACCTTGCCCGCCCTCAAGGTTCTCGCGACCTCCCGACCAGGAGGCCAGGAACGGATCCTTAACTCCCCCCGGCTTCGGCTCCAGGCCCTCATCAGCCCGACCCCTGATTGGCGCGTGAAATTGGAGTGGCTGGAGGCCGCGACTGCAGCCGCCGCAGGCGACTCCGTCCCCGACCTATATCAACACGTAAATTGGAGCGAGCTGGTCCGCCAGCCCGACAGCATCACCCGTGTAGAGATGCTGCGCAAGCGCCTGTCGGTGGATACGGAGTCCGATGCGTTGCTCGCCGCCGCTGTCTGCGCCGCCAAGCTTCCGCTCTTGCGCTACCTTGCAGAAGCAGGCATCCATTTCATTAGCGCGGAAGCTAGACAGGAAGCGGAGAAGGCGGCGGCGGCACTCGGAGATGTGACTCTTCTGAGCGTCCTACCGACGCTGTCGTGCCGTATCACGTACCGCACGGCCTACGTGGCAGCTGCATGTGGCCACCTCCACGTGCTGGAGTGGCTGGAGGGACCGGGGGCATGTCTGGGCGGCAAAGCAGCGCTTGAAACGCTTCGCGAGGTTTCGGAGATGGTATCGGTGGCGGCGGCGGCGGCGGGGAGCGGTAGCGTGGCGGTGTCTGAGTGGCTGTGGCAGCGGGGCCACCCCATGACCGCGAAGGCATTCGCGACAGCTGTGGCTGCGGGCTGTGAGGAACTCGTGGTGGCGATGGCGGCTCGTGGATACCCCATGACCTGGGTACGTGGCGTGAAAAGGGGGGGGGGAGGGCGGGTAATACGAACCACTGGCGAATGGAGGGGAGGCGGCGTTTTAGGGTCTTACTCAGACGCTACAAACGGGGCGCCATCACACATAGGACGCTCAAGTGCTCGTCCACGCACCGCGCCTCGGGCTATTACCGTGCCGTGCTATTACCATACTGCCGTCCCCTCCTGCGTACTTATCCAGTAAAAGTATTAAGCCTAAGCCTAACTTGCTTGTGACTCGCTACTCGCTGCAGTGTTGCCTCCGTGCCCCTGACAAGCGCGACTTAGCTTTACGGGCGTTTTTCTGGCTTTGTGGGATGCAGAGTGCTGGGTTCGATCCCTACCTTGTGGCTGGGGAGAACCAAGACTTTTTGATGCTCAGCTGTTTGAGGCGACTGGGTTGTCCTTGGGACTCGAAGAGCGAGACCTTCACGCGGGCTGTGCTGGACCTGAGGTCCCCCTGCAAGTCCCGGCCCTGCAGCCTGGCAGTTCTCAAGTGGCTGTTGGCGGAGGGCTGCCCCGTGGACTGGCGCGCGGCGAAGGAGGCGGCGGCTCGACGGGAAGACGAAGAGGCGGATATTGTGCGGGGGTGGGTGCGGGCACAGGCGCGTGCGCGTCGCGGCGGAGTTATGAGGAAGGTGGTCACCCTTTTGAAGGGTACTAAGCAAGAGGGCAGCTAGAGCAGAGAGAGAGAGAGAAAAAAGGATGCGGGAACGTTGCGCGGATTGTATCATACACGTTGTTGTAGACACTTGCGTAGTGCCTTTTGCGAGTCACGTGGCTGGAAGATTGAGCTCGGCCTTCTTTACCCTGGTTGTAGGTTTGCTGCCTGCGTTGATGAATGCTTTTTGCAACAACAACAACCAACTTTTGCAATGAAGGCGTGTCGGTCGTAGTGTTGAATTTTGATTCCCCGAAAAGGTGCGGTTAGGCATCTATGAGAAGGGTTTCATCTGACAGGTTTGGGAAGGAATTAGTGTCATGACCAAAAGTCTCACAGGCGTTATGAGTTTTTCCCTTAGGAAAAGGAGTGGGCAAGAAGAATGGAGCGAGGGCTGAGCAGTGCAGGGGTCCCAGAGCTCTGGTTTGGGTATGTGACAAGGTTTGTAGCGCGTGCCGTATCCTACGGCAACGTTGTAAGTTTTCTGTTCTCTGTTTCTTGTTAAGATGAATACTTCTTCCCGGGCGAGTTCTGGCTTTCTTTTCAGTTTGAGTTTATGTTTCCGCGCATGAGTTTATCTTTTCGCGCCTTTCCCCCTAGCCTGTGTCATTGGCAGGCATGTCAGGCATACGGTGTTGGTCGGTCACGTGGCATTTGTAGACAATTGATAGTTTTGTAGCAGTAGCAGAGCGAATTTCACAGGAGCAGGATTGGTTAGGATGATTCCGAGGCATCAGGAGGTTGACCTTGAATCATCATGTAGGCATATCACGAAGTTCACATGGCCTTAGGTATAGCATTCGAAAAATATGTCGTATCCTGATTGTCAGCAGATCGGTTTAGTTTGTCGTAGCGCAAATGCGCAGTCGTAATTGTATTCGGGACTCTTTCGCAGGGTTACGGAGGCGAGATTTGAGCTTATTAGATGGATCGATCTCGAAATTTTTTGAAAAGAAATGAAATGTAAAAAGCAGCAGTTGAGCCGAGCCAGGATTGATGTCGGCTTCTCAGTGGTTTCTGGTACCTTAGAAACGGATTTACGTTGGCATATTGTTTGGATCTGCGGGGCGAGAATGGTTTCAATCTGTGCAAGTCTGCCAGAGCCGACGCGGATTTGCTAGTGACATGTATCGGGTCCGCTATGCCGTAAAGACGTATTAGCTATGCAAAGATAACAGGAAGGATTCTCACGGAGTGCTGGATCTGTGGTGCCGCGATCCAGGATTTCCACGTGGATCCAGGATTCCCACGGTTTCCAGGATGTGGATCCAGGATTTCCACGGTTTTCAGGATGTGGATCCAAGATTTCCACGGTTCTGGGTGCCTATATGCGCGGGCCTGAGGAGGGTGCCATATTTTGCTAAGATGCTGTGGATAACCAGGAATCATTTCCCTTGCGTAGTTCCCTACCACTACCGCTACCACTGCGCACGCTATGCATAGCGTAATTTGGGCTATGTGGGACGCTGAGTTGTGTAGCTCTGATTGTTTTTGGGTCCTTGTGTTGTATTCCTGTTTATTTGCTCGTCATGATTATAATTACTGCTAGTTACGCGAGATATGGTTTTGTCATGGAGCCCCTGTTCATCCCAACGCACAGGCGGCTCACCATGTGTCCAGTGCAGAAGGGAAATGTAAATGTTGCTTTTAACCGGCGTTGTCGAATGTTCACAAAGGGTCTTATTAGGGTTTTAGCGTCTTCTCGTATTTCTTGTGTCTGTTGGCATGAAGGGAAGTTCCCCTGGAGTTCACTCTCCCCGGGGGCGGCAGCAGATATCAAATGCATTTCACGTATCATTCCACATCATCCCGCAAAAATGTGTACAGGGCGTTCCGTGATATGCTTAGCAAATTTCACATCAGAAAAATCTTCCTTTTTTCAAAAGTCTAAGCATGTTAAGAAGAAGACATTCGAAGGTCTAAGCTCTTGCACGGGTGTAAGATGCCCAACGCTCCCGCACAGACAGGCTGTCTTCTTTGTTCTTCATCCCCTAAAGGGAAACTAAAGGGGAACCCCAATATACAAATTAAATAAAGAGGTTTTAAGAGCAGATAAATCCCCCACCTACAACACTTCCAACCCGCATGCGGCGCACACAATGACACCGACGCCCCCACTACCCTCAGCCGTTCAATCGCTTCCAGGCGCCGCATAACATTACATCACGACTGTGGGTGGCAATATGAGCGACATTATTATTATTTACACCCTCAGGACAGGTAGTTTCCGGCTTCCTTGCACTCCGGTTTCCATTCCCCCTTCCATCCCGAGGTGTCGCCGTCTTCACGGACGCCTTTCGGTCAGTTCTACGCCTGGTACACTCTTGCCCTGGCAGCTGCTTCACTCGTTTGTGGTTCGTCTTTCCCCTTCCATCTCCCGGCTATAATTAGGTGGTTAGGTCAGGTCCGCGATGTCCGTGACAGTGACAGCAGCTAGTAGCCAGAAGTCGCTCTGCAGTCGCGTCCCAAGGAACTTCCCACATCATAACACAGACAGCGAGCGAATGGCCTCGTCCTTGATGATGCGTGCGAATATCCGCCCCCCCCCACACACAGACCCCCATGCCGTCTTCAGGCAGGATTAGTCAGTTCCGCCAGCCCCACACCCAGTTGATGAGCTGGCCCCTTCTTCAGACGGCGAATCGCGTCTAGGCTCGCAGTCAATCGTCCAATCCAGTTGAGCCTGTTGCAAAGCCAGGACAAATGAAAGCATATGTGGTTTAGGTAAATTATTGGAAGCAGCGTCCAAGGCGGCGTATGTGCAGATGTGCAGATGTGCAGATGCAGTAACGCTATTTCACAATTTTGTGATGCCTGTAGTGTGCAGCTTTGCAGCTTTTACATATCGCCCCGCCGCTTCGCTTCCCTAGTAAGCTGCTCACGTGGCAGCTAACATCAAGTCAGCTCTTGGGGTGAACCAGGGAAACATGCACGAGTACGCGGGTAAATGAGCTCCATGAGCGCCTCTCGGAATGGGAGGGTATGAACACTCACTGGCAGTTGGAAATCCTTATGCTTGCAGAGAGCTTGGGCGTTTACCAGAATCTTGTAGTTGCACGTCGGGAACTCTTTCACCGAAACAATGGCGTTGTCATTGATGTCGGGTAAACATGTGAAGCGAACCTACAAGGACGCAAAGCACCCCATATAGGCATCGGATACACCACTGCAGCCAAACGGCATGACCTGTTATTATATAAAATAATAATCAAAAGTATTATTATTATTATAATTCCCACGAGATATTAAGTTACACATAACGAGCCCTTACGTACAAATACGAACAAATGCACGTCAATGATGATGCAATGTGGGATGTTAATAACCCTCTGGCCGTTGGGCAACGAACTACCGGTCAACGAACACCGGCTTCCCGTGCTGCCAACTACCAGAACCCCACCCCTGTCCTCCCATGGGACAACACGACCCATCATCGGTTCCAACGAGGTGGACGTGATGGTTGTTATAATCGTGGACGCCAGCATGGACATACGCAGCCAGCAGAACAGCAAGATCCCGTTCAGCCTCTTTGCAAGGAGGGGAAGGAGCAACGGGAAAAATGTCAGCACGCATCTTTTTATCCTTTAAGGGATGTGTTACAACCCCAACCCACCTCAGCAGTCCGAGGTTCCCCAGTCAATGCGCACTTGGCGCCGCCAGTAAAGTTGTGGGAAACATATCGAACAGGGTACGACATGGAGCTGGTATCCTCCTGCACCAGATTTGGATTCACAGCGAACAGTAGTAACCACCAGTGAGCAACATTATTACATTGTAACATTATTATTATTATTATTATTATTAAAATTATTATTATTATTATTATTATTAAAATTATTATTATTATTATTAAAATTATTATTATTATTATTATTATTATTATTATTATATTACCACGACTTCTGAGAGCGTGTGGTCCAGGCCTTCCACGGTTACACACGCATTTTTCCTAGGTATTCCTGACTTGGAAAGGGAAGGCTCCTGCAATGGGTTCATGATGCGTGTGCACAGCTGCCTTCCAAAACGGACACAGCAGCTTTGCTAGACTTATGGCCGTTATTTACACATCAGAAGTCTTGAACTATGAAGGAACGGTTCTCAATCGGCAGGCAGGCAGGCACGAGAGTGTCGATAACCCCCCGGGGTGGCGGGTACGGCCGGCGATGGAAGCTGCAAGAAGGGGCATTAGAGGCAGTGCAAACCTGGTAAAACCAAAAAAAGGTACACAGAGGACCCATACGGCAATTGACGCCCAGGGAGCGGTTGCATCAGCATTGGGACACAAAACAGGCTTCGTCTTATTACGGATTCGATGAAGCTGCCACAAATAAATGGTCGCGAACTTTTGGGGTGGGATTTGCTTTTCCCCAACGCAGGTGAAGGAGGAGGCCAGGATGGTTGTTGTTGTAGGGGCACTGAGGGACCGCCACCTTGTCATCCCGGAGGCCGATGCGTGCGTGTGGTGTGTAGGGAGATCGGAGGTGTCTGATGCTGAAGTGGAAGAGGTTCTCGTGGAAGCTACGCCAGGCAGAAAGCACCCGGTCTAGCTAGATGGTATATCCCTGTTGGACTATACAAGGTGTGTCGGAATGAGATTGCACCAGTTCTTGCTGAAATTACACAATGGCTGTGTAATTTCGTTGGCTTCTTGGAAGGTGTCATCACGGTCATATGTGAAAGTCGGGGATCTCCCTCTTCGCCGGGTAGCTATCAGCAGTTGTTACCTTGTTGGGTACGGAATACAAAAGGTTCTGGCAAAAGCTTTGACCCGTCGGCTGGGTCTCCTAGTCCTAGGACGGGTAACCTTTCTGCCAAACGGTTGATCGGTGCAAATGTTCTAGATGCACATATACATACATACATGCATACATACATATATACATACATACATACATATGAGGTCGCGCGTTAAGACAGGCAGAAATACTTGGAGCATTGGAAAGTTGGCATCCCACCCAAGGCAACTGAGAACACAAGCAATGCGCACAAATGTCTCCTGACCTTAACACTTTCATCTTGGTGCTCGTCCCCGCTGTAAGACCCGCAACTGAAGTCCTCACTTCGTCCCGAGCTGTCCTGCTGCGGGGTGGAGGGGATTTGGCAAATACATAAGATGCATTCATACATACATACACAGGGTTTGGCACTACTGGTAAGGCGCGACCATTGCCCCCGGGAGATCCCGGGATCGATACCCATTAGGGTCAAAAGTCCTTCCGATGGTGGAAGGCATTGCGCCCCTAGTTGATGGACGGTGGTGACCTGGGATAAAGTTAACCTGCGAGCCGACCAGGAATGGAGTTGGGCCGCTGTCGACCCGGCAGATTCCGTTGGATGCTGGTGGTGGGTGCGGAACCTGAGCGATCCACTGAGAAGTTGACTAGGGTGCCCCGAAATACCGGGGAAGGCAGGGTTTCGCAGGGTAGCTGCCATGGGCGAAGATACACCCCCCTGTTTCACACATCATACATACATAGAACAATAGTAAGGGGCCCGCCGCCCAATATGCTCGCTTGCAAGTTGTTGAGTCCTGTTGCTGGTGGAAAGAGGGCTGGAGGGCTGGAGGGATAAAGCCTGCCCCAGGCATCACCAAACAGAGCGGGGCACTCAGCAAGCATATTACCTGTCTAAACTGGCGCACATGCTTCCTGTAGCACACCTCGTACACCCAGAGCCCCTCTTGTCTGTACATGCACAGGGCGGCTGTGCAGGAGGGGCAGGAGGGGTTTACATACATACATACATACATACATACATACATACATACATAGCTGAGACTTGTGGACTCGCTCTAGCGGGACCTGAGAGCCCTTCGTGGTGTATTCAATGCAGCGCCATCCCCGGATGGAGTGGCTGCGGAGTGGCTGCGTAGTGTGTTGGCAGTCTGAGTCGGGGTCGGGAGCACACAAGACTAACCGACTTGTGCTGTGTGCTCCCGACCCTTGCGCTGTGTTTCGGCTTCGGCCCCCGGCTCTCGCGGCCCACAGTGTAATCAAAGTCATACATACATACATACATACATACATGTGCAAGTCGTCAGCTCTGGCCAGTACACACGCAGCATACAGGTGTCGCACTTGTTTCCATTTGTTGTTATGCATTACATAAATATAACATGTAATAATTGAATTGAATTGAACATGTAACAGATCTTGGCTAAAGGAGACGTACATGTCGTCCAATGCAAGCCAGCGCAAGGCGTCAGGAGTGAAAAGGCGGTAGATACTAGCCAGCGATAGGCCGGTATACACCCCCACAGGATATGTGTATGTATGTAAGTCAGCACACGAACGATGGCAGCTGCTGTCATAATCCACAACCACTCCAGGACTCTCAGTGCCTCGTATGAAGGCTCCACTCATTACCTTTGTTGCATGTGAGACTGACTTGTCATAAAACGCTTTCCGCAAAGGAAAAAGGATTCACGGCCGAAAACAAACGAGCCCCGCTCTAACATGCAACACGCGGAATCCGCTCTGGCCTCCCTGGACGCGAATCCACTCGGCCCTCGACCACACGGCACGGCCGTGTGGTAAGACACAGGCGAGACCTCCTAATACATAGTTAAGTGGTGAAGAAAGGAAAGCACGGATGTGTGTGTATGTGTGTTTTACACCTCCTGTAACTGCTTTACTACTCCCCGACGGTGTAAGGTGCGTATGTGAGCATTAGGTGCATATGTGCTGCAGGTCCGGGTAGCCGTGTGATGCCCACGCAGCTCACACATGGACTCACACATGGACTCACACATGGACTCACACATGGACTCACACATGGACTCACACATGGACTCACACATGGACTCACACATGGACTCACACATGGACTCCAGCAGGGTGAATGGCAACACCTCGCTCGACGACATGTCTTCTTGGTACATGTCCTGTTCCTGTGAAAAGCACGTACAGCGGTAAAAAGCGAAATGTTGGCCTTCGACCCGCAGCAAGTGGGTAAGCCTGCTGGGTAATTGTTCTCGCGCCTCAAAACTTATAAGCAGCACAGGAGTGTAGGCAGGCAGGTAAGGTAGGCAGGAGGTGATGAAGCTATCACCCCTTAGTCACCCTACCCACAAATGGCGCACGCCCCTTGAACCCGGGAGCAAGTTGGCATTACAAAGACGAAAGCCGCAGCAGCGAGAAAACTGATGAAAACAGAGGATGGAAGCCAATGAAGCCAAAATGACGAGCGCTTCACCTGCCTGTGCAATTTTTTTACTGTCCACAGATCCTAGCCTATGATAACAGGCAGAATCGGTTCCTATCTATATCCGGGCAAGATCTACAGACGATACAAAAAAGACTACAGACGATAAAGAAACCACAGTGCGCAGCCCAGGGGGGCCGCGTTTGTTGCGGACTTCGCCAGCGAAGGGGACCCTGTAGACGACTAAAGGGGCATCGCGTTTGTACGGCTCGTGGCCGTACGATCTACTTGGCACCGTAATTACGCGTCAGTTCGGATTCACCACTATAAGCAGTTCCTTGGGTAAATTGTTGGCAGTGCATGCCTTCGCAGTTGCCCCCATATCTCTTGGGCGAAACACAGCAGCTGCCAGCATTGCGGTTTTTTGTTCATCAAGCGGCTTCCGCGTCCAGAGTTTAGCCCTCACCACTGGTCTGGCGTTAAATCCATTGAGCTAGAGAAAACGTGGCACATGCATCATGCTCCCTAACATTACGCAACTCGTGTACCATGTTTCCTTGGAAGCAATCATGCTCCAGCAATGCACTCATGGTAATCTCTCGCCTGCAGGGGTTCCATTAATTGTACAGACTGCAAGCTCCTCCCCATGCATTCCTTAGTGGGGATACTGCAGCAGTAGTCTCCCCCATCCGCGCCAAGCATGCGAATACGAGGACAGTGTTGGGGTAACCGCGAAGCTCCTGCGTGCAGCAGAGCAGTGCATGGCAAATTCACGACTTGGGCCGCAACACAATGAGTTCTCCAAGTTACTCGTCAAAGTGAATTAACGCTGCAAGGTGAGCATTAAGACCTTTCTCTCCTGAAGGCAGAAACCGAGGCAGAAGCCTCATTCACAACAAATGAACGGATCAATCTCCTTGACAAAAGCTTTTGCAGTGCACCGTCCCTATACTTTCACCTCACGTTTTGAGTTAAGGTTAACTACGTATTCGGGCGCTCCCAGCTCAGCCCTGGAAAACGAGGTTTGTGGCCCTACAGGTGGACACAAAATTTGCATTAGTACAAGAGGTATGAGATTGTGCAGGGATAACCACGGAAGACGAACCTGTGAGGACAAACTGAAGGCCAGATGCAAGTCGGTATGGTAAGTGCAGCACTAAGACTGCCAATATGATAGCCCGCATTCCCAACCAACACATAATGAACTCGAACTGCAGTTTGGTGTTGGTATAGGGCATATAGCTACTGTCTTGCGAAAATCTGCATACGGTTGCACCTGTCAGTTGCGCCAGTCGGTTGCGCCCGGAAGTTCCTGCCCGTTCTATGCTATGATACTATGATGAATTATGACTGAAGTAATAGTAACTCTGCCGTTCATGCTGTATAGGAATGCTTCTATCTGGGCAGTACTTGTTAGGCCCATATGAAGGACAAGCTCTAAAATTTTCTGTATTTTGCGAACGTATGCAAGCGATGCATGCGTTTCAATCAACGAAATTCGTTTGCACGTTACAGTGGTTCCATTCGAACCACCGGTTGCCAACCGCACCCAGGCACTGGGCAGACCAGCAAATGCCCTATGAAAAAACAAAGGTTGCCCTGCTGTATTTGTACAGGGAGCTATAGTTTTGCTGGGACCCTGAAAGCAGGCTTCCCAGTGTTCCATGGCCACACGTGAGCCTGCCTAGGGTGACCCACGTACCAGCTTCGTAATGTGGCTTATGTAGGAGCGACCCGAGGGACCATGTACCATAAAAATTCATCCTACACACTTTCTCGTTGGATGTATCTTCTCCCACATAGAGTAATAATAAATTTAATTCAGCGGGGCTGCACTTCTTGTGACGGCGTGTGACGACGGCGACGATGACGATGGTATGTGATCATGCAAAACCGCACACATAGGCAAGTGGCTTGCTGCCAAGCTGTGCCGTTATTTACATTACAGCGCAAAAGCAATACATATATCGCGCAAAAGGTGGCGTGTGTGTCTTCTTTATGCGCCTGAGTGGTGAGACCGAGGTGGGAGAGAATGGCACGCACACATACACATACACACACGCACACATGCTGGAAACCGTGACCTTTGTGCGTTTCCTGGCGTGGCATCAACCAAGACCACACCAAAAGACAACGGACGGTGTGCACATGCACAACCACACTGCACACCGCTGACCGATGGGAGGGAGCTAGCCAGCAACTATGACGCGGCCGCAGCCCGCTCGCCTCTTCCTCCCCGTGTTGCTCAGGCTTTGCAGGGGCTGAACGAGTCACAATACACAGTTTCTCAGTTGTGTTCGGCAACAGACAGACCCGCGAATCCGCTCATTCATGAAAACCTGATAGATACCCAGGACACGGCCCAGCCCCAACCTAGACCCCCACCAGAAGGGGCGGCAACCTTCCCTTTCTTTTTTGTCCCCTCGCCGGCAGCTGAGCCATTGCTTCTACCTATCATACCTAAGCAACCGCCACCAGCTGCCGTACGGGAACGAAACACACATACACCACTATTACCCCCCGCTTTCCCTTCCGCCCCCAACCGGGGAAATCGATCAGGCCCTTATGTCAGCGCACGTGCTCAGACAGGAAAGCAATCAGCAGGCAAGAGGTCGAACGAAGCAGGTTGATAAAGAGGTCCTTACGGGAAGTGAGAACAGTCACACAACTGGCCAGTCCGTCATCATCAACATCCACAGACACACAGACAGACAGACAGACAGACAGACAGACAGACACACAGACGCAACCCTGCACACCCCCTTAGTCAGGCCACTTTACCCAACCTGCTCGCATACACACACACACAATATCAACACACAGAAAAACATGTACCAGCACCCTTTTCCCCTTTCCACACCTTGGTGTCGACAAGTGCATCTCCCCCCTCCATCCCTACATTACCCCTTCCCTTTTCCTTTCCCCCATACCCTCCCCCCACACCCTCACAAGCTCTTTTGAGTCTCCGGCCTTCCTCTTGACCTCCATGCCTCCCTCGTCCTTCTTTCCCTCCCTCCTTCTCCCCCTCCCTCCATTCCGTCCTCCGCCGCTCACTCATCCTCATCCTCCTCCGGCGGCGCGGGCTTCGGCGGCAGCTCGTTGCTCTCCAGCAGCAGCTCGGGCCACTGAGCCGCCGGCAGCGGCGGCGGCGCGGGCTTGAACTCCCCTGCCTTGAGCCCCCAGCCCACGTAGAGCGACGCAAAGTGGCGGCCCGCACACGCGCACACAGCTCCCGGCCAGCGGTTGGAGCGCACCCCCGCCACCTGGTTGCGAGTGGTGACGGAGGCAGAGCTAGTCAGACCCGACCAGGCGGCGGGCGGCACGGGGTCCCCAGCCCGTAGAGCTAGGGGCGTGTCCTTGTCCAGGGAGGCCAGAGGCTGGGGACCCTCCTCCATCTCCTCCGCAGTCCAGAAGTTCTGCGTGAGGCACGGCGACGGGTGGGTGAGGATGAGGATGAGGGGAAGGTTTGGTTAAAATGATCTGTGTCGCGTACAGGACAGGACAGGAGGGGCTGGCGAGGGTGGGCCAGGGGTATCTTTGCTGTGAGCGGGGTTGTGGGGTTGTGGGGGGGGGGATGTTAAGAGTGAGAGGACGGAAGGTGGATGTTGGAATTTGGGTCAGAATGGTTCGGGTTGGTAACCAAACTTAGGATTGCAAAATGGCAAAATCATAAACGAGCCAAAGTAAACTGACATGGGAGGGAGAACTGGGTGGTCTGGTCCGCACTTCCCGCTGCAGGCCCCCCCCCCTCCGATCCCAGGGACATCCACGTCCTTTTCCAGGAAAGTAAAAACCGCTCCGGAACCCGCTCCCGGTTCTTAACATCGTACCATACCGTACCTTCTCCGGCTCCTCCTCCTCATCCGGCGGATCCCGCTTGTACGTCACTGTACGACCCTGATCCTTGATATGCGGGTACCGGTGGCCCCAGTTAACGGGCAGCGCCATCTCCCGGCCCTTGAACGGCTCCCACTCGTCATTGGGACTGAGCTCAGCGCTGTCCTCATCCGCCAGGAAGAAGCCGCGTGGACAGCACACGGTGGCGGCGGCGATGCGCGCGATGAGGGTCCGCAGGTACTCAGCCTCCTTGCCCGGGAAGGGGGGGTAGGCGGACACGGGCGCGTCCAGGTTGCCGGTGAGGAAGCGGCGCAGCAGGCGGGAGGCCTTGATCTGCTCGGGGGTAACGTACGGCAGCTGGCTGAGTGGGCCGCCCAGTGTGTTGGATACAAAGTAAATGTAAGCGTTGACGCCCTCGCCGTACGGCTCGTACGGCACGGTTCCCTCTGTTAGTGGGAAAGGGCGGGAAGCGTGCAGGGCGAGGTTGTCGAAGGAAGATTAGGGGGGGAGCCATTATAGGCGAGTTAGTGGGAGCGGACTGCTGGTGTCCAAGGTTCGAAAGGGGTTAGGGGGTACAGGTTACAGGTTTCAGGGGCCCGACACCACCGCACTGGCAGGTCCAGCAGCAGATGTGGCGGTATGGCGCCCTGTACACATCCTAAAGCCAGAGCTCGCCGACCGCGAAACCGACATGATGAGGAGATGAGACGAAGGCCAGCGTGGGTGACGCTGGTGCCCTGGAAAGCCCCGCTCCGAAACCAACCGAAACTAATACACATGGATGCGGACGTGGATTTCCGGGGCTCATGAATATTCGCACAGCATGCATCGGCCGCAGCCACGGGGGCTCCCTACACCGACAGGATACATACATGCATACATACATACATGCCTTCCCCTGCCTCCACTTCACACTCTTTCAAGCTTGGGTCCGAGTCCCGGAACTGCGCCGAGCCCGTCTACGTCCGTCCCGGAGCCGCTGACCGCTCTGTCTCGCTGTCGACCATGGCCTCTCCCGTAGGGGCCTGTCCCTGTCCCTAGCTCCCTGTCCCCCCTGCCCCCCTACCCCCCTGCCCCCCTACCCCCCTGCCCCCCACCCCCCTACCCCCCTGTCCCCCCTGCCCCCCTACCCCCCTGCCCCCCCACCCCCCTGCCCCCCTACCCCTGCCCCCCTACCCCCCTGTCCCCCCTGCCCCCCTACCCCCCTGCCCCCCTACCCCCCTGCCCCCCTACCCCTGCCCCCCTACCCCTGGCCCCCTGCCCCTGGTCCCCTCCGGTCCCTCACGTACCTGGCGCCTCGGGCATCTCTGGATTGTCCTTGAGGGTGGTCTCGAACACGTAGTAGTCAGCCTGCGTGCCAAAAAACTTGCCGAAGAAACGCACCGTAGCCACCCCCCTCTTGGCGTCTTCTCCCAGCTTGCGGACCGCCAACATGGCCGCGAGCATCTCGCCGCGACCCAGACCCACTCCCAACGCATCGAACAAGTTGCCATCGCCCTCGACATCCTCGCACTCAAACTGGTGGTTTGAGAGGGCAAGCGGTCGGTTGTTAGCCGAGTGTGCGTGTACGTGTACGTGTGCGTGTGCGTGTGGGTGCATTTGGAGATTAAACGTGTGGGGCTTGACGGGGAGGGAAGACGGGGAGGGAAGTGGCAGGTGGCGAACAACGTGTTGGGAATGGAAAAGCAGCAGCCAGCAAGCAGTCTCTGAGATGCTTTCATTGGGGCAACCGAAACCGATAGGTGAATAAAGGAGATGTGGATGTTGCTCCCCCCTCCCTTCCGCTCTTTGCCCGATGGCGCATCTGCCTGGTGTCTCAACGGCGCCAGTCTACTCCCCCCCAGCTGACGGCGGAGGCGGCGACGGCGGCAGCGCCAGCGGCGGTGGTGCGTATTGTGGCCCCCAGTGAATGAATACCGCCGCTGCACCACCAACAGTCAGTCGCTGCACCCAATGATCCATGTCCAATAGAAGGAAGCTTTCCATGTCCCGCATACGGGCGGCCCCACAACACAACACAACACACCCAATCATAGCGTCAGCGCCGTCGCCACCTCACGAACTCCTCGTGAACGCCACCCCCATACACGTCTATCAGCTACGAGCTTCCGCCTGTCCCCCCTGCGCCTCTCAGCCTCTGCCGGGCCCCCCTTGTGACATTCCTAGTTTTCCAAAACCGGACGACCTCAGATCAGTCTTCCCTTTTGACTTCTCGGAATCTCGACTATTTCCTCTCTCTGGCGCCACTCTCGCTCTCATTGACGTACTTGAATACTTGCTGCCGGGCAGCTCACGGGGATTCAAGTACCTGTCTCCTATCCTACTATCCGCCGCACAGGTAGAGGCCGCCGCCCTCCTCGTGTTTCTGTTCTGTGGTTCTGTTCTGTTCTCAACCGGGTTTCTCAACCGAAGAGTCTTCTGGATGGACACCAGACGAGTCCGGATACACACATCGCGAGGGAAGGGCCCGGGGTGGTTCCGGGCGCCGTAACGTTAGCTCCCGTGTTCCCTCTCCCTCCCCTTCCTTTGAACTTGGCAGCTAGGAACTCGGCTCGCAACCATCACCGCTGACCACGTCGACGCCAAGACGTCTATTACTCAAGTTATTACTGGTCGGTAAACTGGAATTCCTGGTGCAGCTTTTGTCTTCTCCTGGGCTAGCCATTCAAACGCCTTGTTCCGGTTTTCCTCCCTCCCCTTTGCGACTCACGTCATTGGGGGCGTCCGGTTCGATGGGTTCGCCGCTTTCCGGGTCGAGCACCTCGACTGGCTCCCTACAAGAGAAGATACGCCAGGGAGGGAGGAATGGGGTGGGAGATGGCAGTCAGGAGCAAGCATAAGGGCAGGGCAGTAGAGTCCATCAGAATAAGTTTCGGAAAGAGTTACGGTTACGAAAAATAGAGTCCTGATGGCTGATGTACTCGCGTGGGGCTCCCGGTACCCAGGCTGGTCAGAGCCGGACCACAGACGGGCAGGCGGGTAGGGGTCAACGCCGAGGTGAATGAAGGCTGTATACAGATACAGGTGAACATGGCATTGCGTGCGTCGCTGTGAGGAAGGTGCGGAGTGAAGATGTGGATGGCGTCCAAGGAAAGGGAGAAGGGAGGCTCTGGCCACCAGGTCAAGGGGAGGGTGCGCTCATGGAGGCGCGGGGATGGGGGGGGCAAGGTGTCGAATGCGGAGGGAGCCATGAGTCCCTAGGGGAGAGGGTCCTTACCCGAACAAGCTGGCTGTGGCAACCGCCTTCGCGGCTGATGCCGCTGACTGCGGTCAGGACAGGGCACCAGAGTCAGCCAGCCGTGATCATGTTAGGGGAGTCCCGCGGGAAGGGCTTACAGTTGCAGGCACCAACGGCACGACCAGGCTCGCCGCGGGCGCCGTCGAAAGCACGGCGGTCTCCAACGCCTCCACAGCGTTCACAGGTCTATCTTCCAAGACTTTTGCAAGCGCTGCTGTAAGCTCGTTGTAAATAGAGCTGCCCTTTGTGCTCTTGCACTTCCGCAGATACGCTAGAGCTTGGCCCAAATCCGCGGCCATGGCTGACCGCCACTACCGAAGATGCTTCGTCAGGGAGCGATTTGACTAGAGTAATATCACAAGGGTTACAACAGTTTATCTGCGGCACAGAAGTCCTTTCCAACAAATAAGTTGATACTCGTTGATAATGTACGCACACTGATAAGTTACAGGTATTTTAAAACATAGGTACAAAACTACTTCAAAAGTAAAATTGGAGTTGAAGAGTGAGTGCGTACATACAAGTTTGTGAGTACATGATCCGGGTCCACGGCAAAACTAAATGAGCCCGATAGAATAGAACGCATCACCAAACCATGGATTGCTCGGTAATCTAAAAATGAACTATTCACATGCCGTTGAAATTGCCATGATGTTGCATGGCCACTAGAAGATGTCGCGAGCCAACATCAATGTCAAGCCAGGCCAGAAACCGATGAAGTTCCCTCACTCCCATCTCACAATACTGCAAATACTGCACTACTGCAAATAGTATGCCGCTTTCACTCCTGGGGTTGCAACTGTGTTGTTGTTGTTGCCCAGTTGTGTAGCCAGCCACTTGGTTCCAACTCTCCGCCTTTCAAGTCGCTACTTACGCGCAACTGCAACGGACAGCATCTCAACCCAGCACAAACTGGCGCCAACCGTCGCACTCATACCACGGGACACATTGTCATGTACGTTTCGGCATGGTCAGGGCTTGTGCACCCGTAGGCACAACTCAACCCCAGACACCACGGCTTTGCTGCCTCGGAGCCGACAGAGCCAGCTGGAGTCCGCTTTCTCTTCCCTGGGCAAAGTGCTTGTATGTACGGCAAATATGTAGACGCCAAACAAATCTTACTTTGCTATACATAATGACTAAGTGGCATCAATGGCTATTTGCCATGTGAACATAGGTAGTGCGTGTGACAGATGTTCAGACAGATCTCGCCCTGGAGTTAGGGCTGCTGGGGCGTGTAGGAGTGCACATAACTGCAATCCATCCAGCATAGGCTTGAAGTTCTATGTAGTTTAGGGGAAAGTCCTAGGGATTTGGCGCCGATGTGAAGGTGCGGGACTCACTGCACGTGCACCCCGACTGCGCTCAAACAGGAACGTTCTGCAGGGTTTTGATGACATAAATCACATGGGACGAGACCAACGTTGAGCTATCCTGAGGGCTATGGTGGCGTTCTCCCTCCTAGCCGCCTCTGGCAAGAGGAAGTAGAAGGCTGAACAAGGCAAACTGCGTATCGAATGACGTCACCCACCACGACGTAGGCTTCCGACACATAGTCCCCATAGCAACGGCTCCCTTGCCATATTTAAAGTGGAACAAGCTTACAACGAAGCAATATTTTTTACTTGTCAGGTACTATGAACGGCCAAGAGGATGAGCGACCGCCAACCAAAATGCGTTGCGACTTTCAGCAGCCGGAACCCAAGTACGCTTGCAAGCTTAAAGCTTGTGCGATACAGGATTGCCTGGCGAACAACGATTACGACCAGCGGAAGTGTGTTCGCGCGATACAAGACTTAGTCGAATGCTGCAGGACTCTTGCGGAGCCATCGGTGCACTGCAAGGGCTTTGTGTCATGAGATCTTCTTTAGATGTTAGTAGTCAAGTCGACAGCTTGTCTCCGGCAGCCTCAAGTCATTTCAGCCTTCGCCCCCGAAGCCCTGGGCAAGTGTACTATAAGCGCTGCTATAGGATGCGTGTACAATACAGTTGGATACTGCGACAAGATGTAGGGATGACAAGGTTGTGGTTCCAGTCTTGCAGGCTTTGCAGTCGAGTTGTCGTGTCTCGTCTTTCATGTCTCGTGCTCTCGCCAGCAGGGTTCGACACTGACTTTCCTGAAACTTGCGGGATCCCCCGTACCTCCCAAATTTTCCTTACGGAGGGGCCCCCGTACCAGGCTCCTGTACTGGCCGAAAACCTTACGGGGGCCCCCGTAACCCCGCAAAACCTTTACGGGGACACTGTCCTTGGCTAAAACGCTGTGGAAAGTGACACTTTGCATTTTGTTTTGCCCTGTAAATCGTTATTTATGTTTTTTTCCCGTGAACCATTACACACGGGGGCACGGCACACTCAGCGAAAGCCAAGCGCCTTGGCCGCCGCGGCCGCCCATCCCTTCTGCTCCTCTTTCTCGTCCTCCTCATCCTCCTCCTCATCAAAATCCTCATCCACGCACGACTCATCGGTATCTCGTTCTACGTCGGTCTCGTAGTCACTGTCACTAAAAGCCTCATCGTCACTAGCGGGATATGTTGCTTGTACCAGTAATTCAATCTCTGGGTCCGTCGCAACCTCCTCGTTATCATCCTCTCCGTATGGATTCAAATTAATTTTGCTAACGTCAGAAAACAACTTGTGAATAATGCCTGTATAACCCTTACGCGAGTAGATCCCAGCAGCCTGATCAATCAGTGGCTTCGCCCCGGTATCAGCAGCAGGTCCCAACATGCCCACACGAAGTAGCGAACCAACCGTTTCCAGCTTTAGCCGGTTCGTCAAATATTGCAATATGAATTATGCCTGCCAAGTGTGTGGCTTTATCCTTTATATGGTCCGTCCTCTCCCCTACAGGGCCCCGTAAGGCATCTTATAAATCCTTAAATTCCTTACGGGAGTCACCGTAACCGGCCTTCGGCCTGTTCGGGGGCGGCCCCGTACGGGGCGCTTCGCGCCCCAAAATCTTTACGGGAGCCACCGCAAAGTCCTACGGACCCGTACGGGGATACCGAAAAAAGGCCAAAAACTTACGGGCCCCGTACGGGGTGTCAAACACTGCTCGCCAGCAACTAACTCTGGTTCGTTCGTTCGTTCACACAGTTGATTGTAACGGACGAACATACCACGAACACACGAGGTCTGGACTTTACCCTGAACCCTAAGAGGCCACCGACTAGAACAATTAAGAGTTGGTTGAGTCGCCACAGCTTAAAACATGTGTCCTCTGGATGGATCTGTCCGCACAGCCACACCCAGTTGAACTCAGCAGCTTCAAGTATCACCGCTGTTGTCGTTAGCTTGCCTTACAGCTAACAGCTAAAACAGCTAACAGCCGCCTAACAGCTTACCAGCTGAGGGTGTAGATAAGTCCGATATCAGTGCTTGGCGGTCCCTCATCACATGCTCATGTGGGCAGAGGTTCACGTAAAAGAACCCCCCCGGCTCGGCAGATGCACCATTCCAGTTCCAAGAAAGCTCCAGAAACACCTGTTCAGACGTTTCTTAGCACCTGTCATAGACAGCACCAAGAGCAACATCCGTAGCAGCAGCAGGGCCGCCGTACACCAAAACCCGGTCCGGGTAAGTTTTCAGGTCCATCGATCTTTGTGTACCTGGCAAACCTTGTCCGTACTGGACGATCAAGGCTTAAGAGTTGCTTGTAGTGGCGGACACCACACACTCCGAGGCGGTTGGTGGTTACTGAACGGGCAATCTGGGGGTTAGATCCATCACACGACACACCTGACGCCATCATGGACGTTATTGCAGTCATTCATTCATATGCACACGGGCTGCCAATACAGCGACACCTATCCTTGCCTGTGGGCAAAGGCCCCCATAGCAAGTTACTTGCCTCGCCTAGCAAGGGTTCTCGCGCAGGGCTCACGTCTAAGATCTAGCCCGGTAAGATCACGACAGGTGTGTCAGGGCAAGTCTTGCACGAGCTAGGGAAGCGGAGGTCGAAGAGGGTCACAGTTCCCAGGGAGTGGCGTGCGGGTCAGCTGACAGACACCCAGGATGTTGTAGCGCATCAAAAAGGTTATGAAAGTAGGAAAGACATGTCTGTCTCAGGCTGGCAGTGCCCCGGCCACGGTAACAAACCGTGCTCTGATCGAGAATCGAGTGTGAGCAGAGATTGAACCCTCCGTCCTTTCTGTGAGCAGAGACGATTTTCAGTAATTTTGGGAGCTTCGAGATTTGGTGTCGTACAGATCCTTGGATTAAGGGTTCCGGTATGTTCTTGCGAATAATTCCTTGACAGCCATGACAGTTACCAAAGGATCTGTTGTATTTGTTATCATATTTGCGTAATTCTTAACAAGCACTTCAGTAATGTGTAGCTGTCACGCTACAACACAGATCCCCAGATTGATTTAAATGATATACATGTTTCATCTAAGCAGCAACAGGAGGTTGTTGCGGGGCCGTCGGCATCACAGCTCCCAACAACCTGCAATTGCTCTCGTCCACGGAGTTGGCGAGCATACTGCCACCGGCAGCCCTAAGTCGCTGCGCCGGCGCCGCTACTGCACAACCAAGTACATCCAAGCGTCCATCAGTCCCGCATTCCGGGAAACACATCCACCATGCAAATGCAAGATATACAAAGCATGCAACCATAAACACAGGCATGCGTCCTCCCCAGCCTTTTTCCTATCCTAGCCGGCCATCTTCGCAACAGTCCGTCCCATCCCATCACCAGCACTTCCCTCCCCCCACCCGCCTCCTCCTCTAGCACCTGCTGCCCATCTAATCCTCCGCCTCCTCCTCGTCCTCTGCCGGCGGCACCGGCTTGAGCTCCAGCTCCTGCGTCTCCACCTGTGCCCAGTCGAACTCCGCAGCCACCGGTGGGGGCGGCAGCGGCACAAACGGCGCGTTCTTGATGCCCCAGCCCACATAGCAGCACGTCCACACGCCCTCACGTGCACCGCACACGGCCCCCGGCCACACCAAGCTACGCAGACCCCCCGCCTGCTTCTTGACGGCCTCGCTGGCTGAGCTGTAAAGCGGTATCCAGGCGGCTTGTTCGTTGGGCAGTTGGGCATCTTCCTCCAGGGAGGCCAACAGCTCGGGACCCTCCTGATGGGTCAGTGAGGGTGGTGGAGTTGGAGTAGCCGCAGGGCGATCAGAAGAGGCTTCAGAGGAAAAGTAATCGGAATTGTAGGCAGGAAGCAGGAACAGGCATCAACGGGGGAGAAGAGCAGGGTGCCTCCCCAACGTGGAGGAGGGAGGTTCCCGAGCTAAGGGGTTTCCCAGGGGAAGGTAGAAGCGTGTGAAGCTAGAACGGAGCGTAGGGGACTGAGAACCGGGGTTTGGGGGCCGAAGGGAATAAGGGTAACATCACGAAGTGGTGTGCAAGATGCGGAGGAGGGCAAGAGAAGCTTCGCCGCTGCTACCACCAAACCAATCGGCCGCTGGCCGACCGGCCAGCCACTAACTGCTGCCCTGTTTCAGCTGAACGATGGAATAATAATAATTGCGGAGCAGAGGGGCCCGCTTGCTGCTGTCCCTCGTTGTGAAATGATGATGATGGCCGCCCTTCGCCGCCACTCCGTTGCCCCATTCCGTCATTCAATCTGCACCGTTTAACAACAAAGTCCGTTTAACCTAGTCGCGGTCCCCACATTCCCGTCATCACGCTCCGGGCCGTAGCTTCCCCCTGTGTCGGCCAGAACAATCTCCTCAGTGCCCCTCACCTCCAGCTCATCCTCATTGTAGAACTCGTCCTCATCAGCATCCTCCGGCAGCTCCCGTTTGAATACCTCACAGCGGCCCTGGGACTTGAGGTGTGGTCGTCTGGAGGGGCGGGATGTGGACGGGGAGGCAGTGGGAGGTCAGGCAGGCCGGGTCTCCGGTTCATGACAGCGTTCAAATTGAAAACCAAGTCATGGAAGGGCACTGTGAAAGAGCCCAAAGCCCGCAGGGTACCACACGGCGGGAGGGCAGGCAGGTTGGAGCGTTAGGCAGTATATGAAGCAGCAGGTGGACATGTAGAGGAGTCCAGTAGGGAAAGGGAAAAGGAGAGAGCTGTCGTTGTTGTTATTGTGTTGTTATTGTGTTGTTATTGTGTTATTGTATTGTTGTTGTTGTTGTTGTTGTTGTCGAGAAACTGCTACAGGAGGTTGGGTAAGGGTAAAAGCCCTAAGCCAGTCTCTTGGGAACCTAGGCCAGTCGTGTTCCCTACAGGCTCTTTCAGAGAGTGGTCCACCAGACCTCCTCGGTACGTTTTCATATTCCATTTATAACAATCTCAACTTCAAAGCCTTCTTTCCCCTTTCTGTACCGCGGCGGATTCCCCTCGTCCTCATAAAACACGCTACCCACTCACACATGCACCCAGGCCGACGGCACCGCCATCTCCCGTCCTGGCGGCGGCTCCCAATCCTCGGCTGCTTCCAGCTCCCCCGTCTCGTCATTCACCGAGTAGAAGTCCGTGGGAGCCACCACCGTAGCGGCGCCGATGCGCGCAATGAGCGCACGCAGGTAGTTGGCCTCGTTGCCGGGGAAAGCGGGGTAGGTGGAGACGTGGGAGGTGAGGCGGCCGGTGAGCAGTTTCTTGATCTTCCGGGAGGCTTTGACTTGGGCTGGGGTGACGTCGGGCAAGCGTGTGAGGGGCCCGCCCAGAGCGCTGCATACCAGGTACGTGTACTTGTTGGCGCCGGTGGCGGGACCCTCCGACGGGACTTCGGGCGTGGCGGCAGGTGTGGACGCGGAAGCAGCAGCACTGCCACCTGTAGCTGTACGAGCGTACGTACGGGACACAGCAAGCGGGTCGCGCGCGCGAGGGAGAGATGTGAAAGCCAAAACTTCAGAGAAAAAAAGCCTAAGTAAGGGGTCCTACAAAACATCCAGAGGCCAGTTAAATCCCCTCGCGTGAGACCCGGGAAAGGTGCTGACGACTCAGCCGACCCGGCCCTCCTTCCATGCCCCTAGGCCTAAACAACTCTCCTTTATTGTCTTTTATATAATATTTTTTGAAACCTACACAAAAATAAAAATTTAATTATTTTATTGCTTTTTAATCCTAAGCCAAAATATACTAATTACTAAGCGTAATTCGGTATTAAATTACCCACCCACTCGAGCCCTCCGGCGCTTTTCCTTCCCCCCTTCAGCTCCCACCTTGCCCGTCGGCCGCCGGTGCGGGCGCTTCCGCTGGTGCATCCGAGCGTGCCTTGAACGCCACCTCAAAGACGTAGTAGTCAGCATACAGGCCCAGGAACTTGCCGAAGAAGCGGACCGACTTGACAGATAGTTTGGGGTCCTCGCCGATGCGCTTGGCGGCTAGGGCGACGTTGATGCCCACCTCCCGACCCAGACCCACACCCAGACAGTCCAGGACCATGGCCGCGCCGCTCATGTTCTCGCACTCAAACTGTTTTGTTTTGCGTTGTGTTGCGTTGTGTTGCGTTGCGTGCGGCGTGTGTGGGGAAGTGTGGCGGCAACAGGTTGTTGGCAACAAGGTCTAGGTAAGTGCCCAACCAGGACGTGGAGTACAAGAACCAAATGGAAATGAACAAGAAGCTAAAGCAACAAAAGATAAGACGGGTGTGCAGGGCCTTGTTTAGGTGCAGTTGTGACATAAGCGGCATTATGTTGGCGCATAGCATGTTTTCAGGAGGCTTATTCAGTTCTCTTTTGAGGCGCTTACTAGTTCCAAGCACTGAGGCACACTCTGAGCCAAACGTACTTAACCCCCATCCTCGCCCGTCACCCCGTCAACCCCGCAACTCCGTGTGGAGTTCAGTATCGCTGCTACCCTCGCTGTCTGCCTTCCCATCGCTGCACAATGACTATCACCCATTTGCCAAGATGATGCCAATTCCCCTTCCAATTCCTCTCTCTCTCTCTCTCTCTCTCTCTCCCCTCTTCCTCCCGAGCACAAATCTTTCCGTGGAATACGTATCCTGCCCCAAGCCCCTCCCGCTGCACCCCATGCGTCCTATTTCGTGTTCTCGTTCAGGTAGTAATGCCCGGGTTCATTTGTACTTCATTTGTACCCATTACCATCAATCATCCATGCCGTTCTGATCCGCATCTCAAGGTATGTATTCGCTCGTCCCACACTGCCCCATGGACCCATCCCCCGGCGGTCCTACGGCCACACGGCGGCCGGCCACCCCGGGTGGCCCAACCAGCTCCCACCTCATTGGGCGGGTCAGCTGGGTAGGGCTCTCCCGTCTGCGGGTTGATGGGCAGCTCCGGATCCCTGCGGGTGGGGGAGGGTGGGGGTTTGGGTGACGACAGCACACAACAAGGGTGTGGCCTGTGCGAGTACATGCGAGTATGTGCTTTCGAGTATGTGCGTTTGGCGTCAAAACACAAAGGCAGGTGGTGGGCTGTGTGGGCTGTGCGTGAAAGTCAGCCAGGACGCAAACATTCAGAAGTTGCAGCAGCCCCGGCAGAAATTATCACAGCAGGTTGGGAAGAGGAGCGGCTCCCGACCGATGCGGGGCTCGGGAGGTCCTCCTGGCTTTTCACCATACCGGTTTCAAACTGATTCAAACCCTCAATGCGGTATATATATGTATGTATGTATATTACAATCCCGAGCCTTTGCTCGATCAGCAGCTTCCGGTCTGCAGATAGCCCGCCACACGACCACCAGCCAGGTCGGTCAGGCCGGCCTGCAGCAGCTGTAGCACCACCAGCCAGGCTGGGAGTGAGCGCGTCAGGTGGAGGAGCCGTGCGGCGCTGTGTCAGCCGTATAAACCCCACTCTCTCTCCTCTTCCTCCCCCCCCGGACTAAGGGGCTGGCTGGCCACCATAGAGCCGCCCATGTTGCGCCAGGTATCACGCAAAGGCCCTCTTCTCCATCTTCCCCTTCCGGCCCGTGAAGCTTCCTTCCCCTAGTGGTGAACTGTGAACCCCCCCTCTCAGCCAAGCGGGGGTCCTCCGGGTTAGCATCATCGCGGGTGTTCAGCCCGTGAGCCGAAGAGCTGCCCCAGGTCCCCAACCCCGCAGATAGCTCTGGCCCCCCCTAGACAGGCCCCGTTCGGTTGGTATTGGTATGCTGTGTTACCAATACCAATACCGGGTGGGGCGGGTGGGGCTAGCGCAGCCTGAATGCCCGCCGAGTGAAACAGGGCCGGGTCGGGTGGGGTCGGGTGACCATGTGGTGTTTTTTTATGATCTGACACGCGATGACGATGTTGTGCTGTGCACGCTTGGATCAAGTGTTAAGCGTGATGGGGCCCAGCAAGGGGAGACTGGCAGCCATGCGGGACAAGGGGAGACCGGCAGCCTGGTAGAGGTGTTGATCCAAGCTATGGGTCGACCCGTAGCAAAAGTGTTCGCTGCAGTGTCCCCAGTGTTAAGGAGGCAGGTCTGGCACCGCGGCCCAGGGCAGGCAGCTGCCTTGCCGCCATACGCACCCGAAGAGGCTGGCGGCCGCGGCTGTTTGCGTGGCATCCGGCACGACCTGCAGCACGCATGCGGTCGGGGGCCATTGTTTGGAGATCGGAAACTGGCTTGGGAGCCGGAGATTTGGGTCGTGTAAAGTGCGGCGAAGGCCTGGGTTGGGTGTTTGTGTGACGGGTATCTGACCCCGTAGTCGGTGTCCGGAACGGGGCAACTGGACAACCGTCTCACCGGGACTGGTACCAGGGGTGAAGACTCCTTTGCATCGAAGGTGGATTTCTTTACGAGCAGCGACGCCTCAAGCAGGTCAACAGCCTTGGATGGCTGATCTTCGAGGACCTGATACGCGGGTTTGACGCATAGTTTTTCAAGTCCCGCCATCAATACTGTCCAAAGACGCCAAAGCAGTTGGTGATCGCTGTGGCACAAGCTTGAACGCAGGGAAGCGGACCCGACATGCAAGGACCGAATAGCCTAAGGCATGGTTGATTCCGTTACAGCGTGACGCACCTTGTTTACTAGCCTCACTAAGTGATCATACATGGACGTGCCATCGTTAGCGGAGTAGACCTGCAAGTAGGCCAGCGCCTGCGCCGCATTGTCTAAGGCCGTCATTCTATCAGGCCCTTATTATTGTAAGGGTAATACGTAGCTATTTAGCGGGTAGGACTTCAGAAATGCGGTAATCCGAGTTCTAACGTAAAAGCATTACAGGTAACCTTGAATGGGACATGGTCATAAAGTTACAAATTGTAGTGTAACAACTACTGAATAGTAAGCACAAATTAGGATAATTTGCAAGCTGCGACTTCGAAATTACGGAAGTCCAGTACGGCACAAGCGACTTGCAAAGAAAAACCAGAGTTTACTGATACCAAAAGTAGCCCACTAGTCGAGGGTTTATTTTGCTAGGGTAATGGATTCCAGGGGTGGTTGAGCGCATTGTTCCATGCTGTAAGGGCTCCCTGGAGTGCACCGACTGGTAGTAGTTTCTGCGGCACACTCCAAGTACGCACCACATCAACGTTTAGTGTATTTAGTATCCACACAAACCTAAATATCAAGCATCTGTCACTCCGTGACACCCTACGATCTCTCTATTCTTCTAGTGTTTCCTCTATCACACAACTAGGAAAATGTTGGTCGCTAAGCGCAATGCTGTTCAGGTTCGTGCATCTGGTAGTGCTGCACTGTCTATGAGCCGCTCGGCGGCAAGGTCTGTGGCAGTGTCTTCGCGCATCGCTCTGTCCTCTTGGGACGATTGCCGGCAGACGGCGTCGTCCCTCGCTCAGTCTGCTCCCAAGTTGCAAAATACTTCAAGTAAGTTGCAATGCAGATGCGGAGCGCTGAATTCCCCCGCATTTGAGGTTTCCTAATCTTGCGTCTGCGTGACGATTCTCACGCGCAGATGCTCCCCGGCGTAAGCCAGTGACAATGATGGGCAACAAGGCTACGACTGGTCCTTTTGCGCCTCTTGTGGTTGTTGTGCGGGGAGCGATAGGCGAGAAGGAATTTAACCAGTTCCGTGGCAAGGCTATTTCTCTCCACTCACAGGGTGAGACACGAAAAATATGCGTCTGAACGTTTTAATAACAACATCTGTAGAAATCCAAGCTGTTTCAAGTGGGGGTTCCTCGTAGTCGCCCCGCGAGTGGCTACAAAAAAAGTCTGGCCAGGCAATTTTCTAGGTGGAAATCGCGCGTGCTTGCCTCCACGATCACCAAATGTATTATGCTGTTCCTCGTGTACACGCAGTGATCAAGGATTTCTGCAAGCTCCTTGGTGTTGACAACAAGCAGGTTCAGGGCGTGATTCGCCTCGCCAAGAAGAATGGCGAGAAGCTGGGCTTCCTGGCATAAGCAAGATAGTTGTACCTGGGTCGGCGACCGGATGATGTGTATTCAACAGAGCGTTGATGGCCGTGCCCATACCTGCGAGCATACCAATGATGCATGACAGCAATCAAATGATAGTGCGGTGGCGAGGGTTTCCTTCCAATGCATATGTAAAATGGCAGGGCGGAAGGGAAGGGCTAATTTTGTTACGTGGAATAGGGAGGATAACTAAACTTATGAGAGGGTGGGGAATTACGCTGACGCATTGTCAAGTGGAGCGAAGTGGAAGAGTGGTTGCGATGGAGTGTGTTGCGATTTGAAAAAACAAAACTGTTCCATATTCGCAGAACGTGCTGCGATAAGCAAGCAGGTCTTAACGTCAAGAATGTTGAAAGTATTTTGACGCTACTAAGGACTGTCGCGCTGGTTTCATTATTTCGAGAGGTTGCGATTCGGATTGGGATTGACTGGCAGCGGTTGCAAGGGGAATCGCTGTGCCGCGTGTGGTCGTGCATCTGTGTGCTGAAGACGCTAGATGTGAGTGTGTCTCATTTTATCCGTTTACCCACTGTGTGCTGTGATGCGCACCGTTGATGGTTGGGGTGCGGTGGTTTCGATATAGTGCATTTTAAGCTTTGCGCTAGGATTAGGCAGAAAGATGATTTAACGTGAAGTAGACAGCCAAAGTTCGTTCTTGCTCCGCTGGGGCTTTAGAAGTGGCCATGCTCATGTTTTTTGTAAAACGGCAACTATTTACTAACCGTTACAAAACAACGATATGTACATAGCAAGTAGTTGCACTTCATTTTCACCACAACAGCACGATCTGAGGGTGGGAAGTGGCTGGCGATATTGGAACAACATAGATATTTATCGGGACAATCCTTCAAAATTTCTCCTGTAGCGACAAAACGCGTTGATGTGAGGCAAATGTTGAGACATGTTGGGTTTCGTAACACGCAGTTATTTGGGTTCGAATCTGCGACGAGGATAGATTACCCTGATGGTTTTGTTGCGGCCAGGAATAGGGCTCGAAGGCGCTTTCCGACAGTTGCGTGATTAGGCACGTTTCGACAGTAATGTTAGTTCGACACCTCCGCCATATTCGTTGGCGAGGAAGTGTCAGCTTCAGAGAGGCAGTCTTCGCCAGAAGTATAAAAGGTGAAACCTTTTCGACTACCAATGGAGAAGAAAATAAGGGGGGAAAAGAATAACAATAAAAGTAATGGATTAATGGGTCCGTTAGCCGACAACTGTAACAGCCGAGGACTGGTTGTTGAGTAGGCCTCTACCCGAAGGAGCGGTGATAACGGCACTAAGGGAGCGTTTGATGAGCGGCTAGGACCATACGCGTCTGACTGTCTTGCCAGAGGAGTACCCATCAGATGGGAAGCAACTGGGAGTGCAAATGGCGAAGTGTAAGCACTGGATGGGGCTGCCCTTTTCAGGAGCCGCAGCCGTCATGTGGCCAACACATGCTATCCTCGTTTAGCACATCGTAAGCTAATGCAGATTCGTTTATGTTGCTGGGCTTTGGAGGCAAACAGAGCACGAAGGGGCAAGTACCATGTCCCCAGGGAGCAGCGGCTTTGCCGCTGTTGTGATACTAATAGCCGAATCGAGGATGAAAAACACGTGTTATTGGAATGCCCAGCCTATAATGCTGAAGAGGGATTCGATTATCAACAGAGCATGTTGGAGGCCATGAAATGGGAACCAGCACGTCTGGCGAGGATGTTGGAACGTATGTGGGCTCACCCAAACTCAGTTACCCCCATTGGACGCTAGTCTGGGCTGATGTGCGGTGTTTCCTTTTCTCCGTGG